TTTTTCTTTTTCTCTTTATTTATTTATTTTTTGTCTGAGTTTCTGGTTTTCTGCCTGTGATGAAGGTTTCAGATGAACTGATGGACACTGAATATCTATAATAAGGAAGTGACTTTGCAGCTATCAAGTACACATGTGTACGAACATTTTACATAAATACTTATCAGTAACAACTTTCTATTTGAAGGAAATAAACATGTACTGCTATATGTGCATTTATACATATGTTGATATAGCTGAATACAGTTCATGTTGAAAACTTCTAGTTGAGGGAGAAAATTTTTAGATAGGGCATGCATTTTTGTAGCATGCATGCTCTAAATGTGGTTCTTTGTCGTCTTTGAAATGACCTTGAAAACAGATAATAGAATAACAGAGTTGGAAGGGACTTTGGCATAGTCCAGATAAAGTGACATAAGCAACTCCTTCCATCATATGTGTGAGGTCCATCAATCCAACTATGTGTGTAGGACTAGGGATGAATAAAAAACCTATGCTGGCTGGGTGGGGGCAGTCATTTCGATTCTGGGAGATGGAAAGATTGATTTTGTGGCTACTACCATGTTTTCCCGAAAATACACCCTGCCCCCAAAATAAGCCCCAGTGAAGTTTTTTTGGGGGGTGGGTCTGATATACACCCTACCCCCAAAATAAGCCCTAGTGAAGGAGGTGGGCATGGCCAGCACAGTAGGCAGCCCTTCCCCAGTCACCTCATGGCTGCTCAGCCCCTTAATTGGACCCACAGATCAGCTGAGCCAGCAAGGGCCGGGAGCTGCCTCTCATTCCTTCTCTCTGTTCCTTTCAAGTGATCAAATGTCACTTGAGAAAAGGACGTACATCCCAGGAATGCAATGCTGAAGGCTCGGGATGTGTGTTAGGGATATCCGTCTATGCTGAGCTTGAGGAAAGGATGACAGGCAGAAAAATCCCCCTCCCCATTTTCCTGCCGTTTGCCAAAAAAGCTTCATTTTGAGCCTTCAGTGTATCCCAGGATTGCAACACTGAAGACTCAGAATGGAGCCTTTTTGGCGAACAGTAGAAAAATGGGGAGGTGGATTTTTCTGCCTGCTATCCTCTCTTCAGTCTCTGCTGAGCTTGAGGAAAGACTGGCAGGCAGAAAAATCCCCCTCCCCATTTTTCTGCTGTTCACCAAAAAGGCTCCATTCTGAGCCTTCACTCTATCCCAGGATTGCAACAATGATGGCTTGGAATGGAGCCTTTTTGACGAATGGCAAGAAAATGGGGAGGGGGATTTTTCTGCCTGCCAGTCTTTTCTCAAACTCAGCACAGACTACCAGCTTCATGGATGGTGGGATGGCCTGGTGTGACCATCACACTGTTAGGTAAGCAGTGCGTGGGGCGTGTTGCTGGGCCTACTGCTTTTTTTGTGGCTGCCATTAACAGAAAAAGGGGCGCAGTGGGTAGGGTTGCTGGAGCGGCCACGAGGCTGTTCTGCATGGATGGCAGATGCGACCATTAGGTGAGAGCGTATGGGGCACATGGGGCAAGTTTCTCCACCCTTTCTCCCCCTTAGTCTTATCTTCTCACCTCGTGCAGTCTGCACTGCAAGCAATGAGGAGGCCAAGCAACGTGTGGAGCGTGTTGCTTGGCCTCCTGCTGCTTTGCGGCTGCAAAAGTAGCCATGCTTGCTGGAGGCGGCGGTCTGAGCGGTACCCACAAAGCAGCTGCTTCGTGGATGGCCTGCTGTGACCCTTCAGGCAACTGGCGCAAGGGACCACTTGCCCCCCTGCCTCCTACTGGTACATGGGGGAGGAAAATGAAGACATCCCCCAAAAGAAGCCCTAGCCATTTGGGAGGGGGTGTCAAAAGAAAATAAGACCTGGTCTTATTTTCAGGGAAACATGGCATATCTATGGCATTCCCTATCTTTTCAAATAATTGATTTTCACTGTAAAATGTGAATATACCATATTAAATGAAAGCTAAGGAGATGAATGTTGATTGTTCTATTAAAACAGTCAAAAGGAAATGGGAAGAGGCCATCAATACTGAGGAATAAACACACTAAAAGACTTTTTACCTAATCCTACAAAGCTCTAGAAACCTCTCTTTTGGCTACTGTAGAAGGTATATCTCATATATGTATGAATGCACAGAACACAAATAAGACATATTGAAAATAACTTTTTAGGAACAATAATGACTGTGAATCTCTGTATCAAAGTCAGTTATTACATTTCATTTTTAGTGTGACCCAGAGTAAAGTACTGAATCCATTTTAGCAAGCCATAATAAAACCTTAAAAATATGCCTATTGTAATTTTAAGTTGAAATTTAAAATTACATTTAAAAAAAATAGCCTGAAATAGCTATGATTGCTCAAGCAATTTACTGATAGAAGCATGTGTTTTTCTTGTGCAATTTTTTTAGTTGCATTGTACTAAAGGCACATAGAATTGTACTCAACAAGAATTTATTGCTTTCCTCCATTGCTATACTGATAAATATGTATCTGCTATGAAGAAACTTAATTTTGCTTAGTGTTAAGAGGCCTTATGTGTGAATAGTGTTGTTGTTTTTAAATGTGTTGTTTTAGATTTTTATATTAACATATTATTGGCATTATTAAAATATTATGTCCCTTTCTAAAAAACCTGTGATATCAAGTTATGAAATTACAGCCATAATCCCAAGTTTCCTGTAAATTCCTCCTTCAACATGTGCCTCCCAATATTTTTTCAAGCAGTGCCCAATCCTTGTCCAGTTTTATAGAAAGGGAACATTATTGTCTTGCTAATTTATATAATCTCAGCATATATGTGTGTTTTTCTTAACGTGACCATAGCAGTGCTGAATGTTGCAGTATTCATGTTTATATATACATGCATAAGAATGCCATCAGATATGTTTGAAGAATGCTGCTGTAGGGTTCCCAAGAAATATTAAAGCTTGGTTTGATTATAACTTCTGTAGAATTTTACAATTTTAAAAGGAAGAATTGGCATTCAAAAATATAAATTAGCACTGTCTTCAGAGACAAATAATTTTAAATGTCCAAAACAGCTTTATCTGCAAAGATTTCAATTTAATGAATACTTTAATTGCCAAAGAAATTCTGTATTTCAAAATATTTACCAAGGGATAAGGTATAAAATGTTTCCATTGTTTACAGCAATGAATATGGTTAATAAATGATCTCAGGATAATAACAGGAATGTTATCTTTGCATTGATATATGCTATATTTAAGAAGTGAAAGAAGGGCTATTTTGCCATAATTAACTAGTGAAAAAATATATTGAAATTGAAAAAATGTTTATTTATATGAATCTTAAAATCAATCTGTACACATTAAAAGCTAATTTTTAATTAAAAATGGAAATGAAACCCCACTTGAAAGTTAAAATAAAATTTGTTTAAAACTATGAGATCAAGAGATAGAATTAAACTGTTAATAGATTTGTAAAGTGCACCAGATGACCAAAGATGAAGGATAAAATAAACTATAGAAATGTCTGAATTAAGTTTATGAAAGAGATTATAATAGTTTGTTTGAAAATGCATAAATAAATTGTCTACAAATACATCATTATGCCTGAAGATATTTTTGTACTTATGATGGTGATAAATAATTTTAAGATTTATGTGACTTCCACGCATGGGGCTTTGCACAATCCTGATTCTGCTTAAGGAAAGGTATTTTATGTGTACAATTCAGACAGTTCCAATTTTATTGAATTCATAAAAAATTAAATTTTAACATACCATAAGCTTAAGAGAACAAAACTGAATGAACAAAAGGCAGAAGGAAAAATAAAGCATAAATTAAAAAATTGTGAAGAATTTAGTAACACATTTTCCACTTCCCTTCTTTTTCTCCAGCCACTAAGCACACATTAAATATTTATGCTATGCTTTTAGTATTTAATATAAAGCACTGGAGACCTTTGTTCTGTTTAAGTCATTTAATGTTTTTAGTTTCTTGACTCTTTCTAGAAACCAATTCTACATGTTTAAATCTGCCTTGTAATATATTCTTCATAGGGAAGCAATTTCTGAATCAGTTTTGTCATTGTTGTATATTAAACTATTTTGATCTCCCAATCTTGTTTTGTCAGAAGTTTCACTTTTCCAGGATTGGGCTCTATCAGCATCTACTTTAATCAGTTGATCTTAGCCAAAAGATTGTGATACTTTTAATTTATAATTTTTGGAATTATTCCCAATTTAAAAATTGTTTCAGTTCAAACTTAAAAATTATTTTTTCCCCCTGAAAATTATCATGTATACTGCCGAATTTTTATGAAACAAATAATTTTGACAAACACACTCCCCTTATCTAGACTGATGATAACCTAGACAATGTATTTGATGTTGATATAAGTGCTTCATGTTTTTCCTATTCAGATGCTAGAAAGTTTGCAATTGTATAGAAGACCATCTTGGAACCAGATGAAGTCTTTTGGTTGCTAATGTTTGAATCTATGCAAAACGCCAAAACCTCAATTTTCCCCCAGTAGATTTCTTGGAATTGACACAATTACTGGTGATTTCGTAACTGCACATAAGCCAGCAAGATACCCAGTATATCCCATCGCAGACCAAAATCTCTTGAGACTTGCTATCTTTCTCTCTTGAAACTAATCTTGACATGCGCACCATGCATATCCAGATTTAGATTTCGAAATTAAGTGTCCGCAACGCAATTGCAATTCTTTTCACTATTCGCACGGAGAAGACAAATAAGGTGGTCGGTTCGTCCTCCCTTTTGGGGCTTCCCGAGGTCTAAACAGCTTGAAAGGCCTAGCAATAACTGGCTCCACATAAGACGCTGACCTACAAATCAAGGTTATTAATTTTCGGGATTCCCCAGCTGAACCAAGTAGACTAATTCACGGTTAACGTTTTGCAGGTGAACTCCCCCTGACGCCTAGGCGCCCATTTTCAAAGCCAGACCTTCAAAGAAGAGGAAAACTACATTTCCCAACAAAACCGTCTTCCGCGGACCGGCGAAGGCCGAGTTCCTTCCGGGTCGGAGTGAGTTCCGCTTCTGGACCTCCGACAAATAGTTATGGCGTCGGGGTGCCGGATAGGTCCTTCCATTCTGAACAGCGACCTGGCGGCTCTGGGAGCCGAATGCAGGCGCATGATGGACTGCGGCGCAGACTACCTGCACCTGGATGTAATGGACGGGTAACTCGCCCGAGGGCCGGGGACAGGGTCTCTCCCTCCCTCGCGGAGGCGGCCGACGCCTGTCAATCGGCTCGGCTCTGTGGTAGTAGTAGATGAAGGTCGGGATGGTGGGGTGGGGGGGTGGGAAGGGCGATTGGCTCTGGGCGGCTTAGACACTTTTAGTCTTATATATACCGCTCCATAGTGCTTTACATCATTTTCGGTCAGTCAGACGACATCTTCGCTGTTTTGTGAAACAAGCAGCACATTCCCGGCATGTTCAGTGCCAGCAGGTTTATGCTGGGATGGAAGGGGGGGGGGGGGGGCTGCCTGTATCATAACAGCCCTAAGTCACGTGAAGAGCTGCGGAGAGAGGAGGGGTCTTGCCAACTGATCGTTAGCCATGAGAGTCGGTACTATCATCACTTTGCTTGGCTACTTTGTTTCCAGGAAAGCAATATTTTGTTAGCAGTGCTTTGTTAGGGTGTCTGGAACTTGAGGAAAGATAATGCAGACTACTTCCTGGAAGCATTTTTGGGTTACAAGCCCTCATTCAGCCACTGTTCAAAGTTATGACAACCCTGAGCAAGGGGGACTTAATGAACAGCCTGCAAAGTTGCAGCCATTGCAACCATCCTCCAGTCACGAGGTCATCATTTGCAACCTTCCTTGCTGACTTGCCACAAACAGTCAATAGAGAAGCTGGCAGGATGTTGCAAGTTGCTTCCACTGCTTTTTCATCCACCCACCTGTAGCACCTGGACTTGCTCCCTAGTGCCTACCCATGGCACTCATCCATACCTCTCACCTGCTGGATTACTTTTCTGGGACCCCCCCCCCTCTTCAAGCAGACTGCTGAATTGTTGTGTCTAGATGAACTGTCATGTAATATTTAACTTTATGGCCACCTGCAGCTGGCATACAAAAGTCAAAATGCCAATCCTTTCTAAGTTAACTAATTTTAGGAAAGAAAGTGTGTAATTGGGCTACAGTACATCTTTGTACTCAAATGAACTACGATAAAAGAGAACTTTTAGTTTTGAAATACCTAGAAAACAAGTCAAATTGTTTAATATTTGGCCCCATATTTTATTTTTTTATTATTGTATCATATAAAGTCCATAGCACAGGGGAAACCTGTATTTATTTAGTTTAGTTTTAAAACAAACTAATAAATGAACAAATATTTTATTAGTCAAATATTTTGCTATGTCCCATGCTTAGAAATCCCATACATTGATAAAGTCCAAATTGTTATACAATTCAGATTCATATCTTTGAATCATATTACTCTTCCCAGAACCATAACAATAAATTTATGGATATTAAACCAACACTGGCAATAGAGGCCAAACCCATGTCATGTATATCACCTCCATCATGTTAAATATTCAATATAATGGAGTTGACAGCTAATATTCTTTGTAATGTCCAATAAACAGGAAAAATATTGTGTTCAATTATTCTGCCTGTAAGATCTTCAGGACCTATAACTAGTCTTCTGTTAAATAATATCTATTATGCACTGTGTGCACAATTATTAGGCAAGTGAGTATTTTGACCATATCATTTTTAATGCATAGTTCCCAGTTTGTATGAACTTGAATGCTTAGTGGATACAAGCATATCAGATGATGTATATTTGTGTAATGAGGGAGGGTATGGCCTGAGGAGATCAACACCCTATATCAAGGTCTACATAATTATTAAACAGCTTCTTTTCCTCAGGCAAAATGGGTCCAAAAAGAGATTTAACTGACTCTAAAAAGTCAAAAATTGTATTCTTGAAATTGCTAGGATATTGGTGCATGATCACAGAACCATCAGATGTTTTGTTGCAAATAAGTCAATAGGGCCGCAAGAAATGTTGAGGAAAAAAAAGACACACATTAACTGCCAAAGATTTGAGAATAAAACATGAAGGAACCAGGGGCCCATTATCTTCCAGTGCGGTCATATTACAAAACTGCAATCTTCCTGCAGTGCCCTAGAAGTATAAGGTGTTCAATGCTCAGAGACACAGCATTGTAAGGAAGTAAGGAAGACTGAAACCTGGCCACTATAGAATAAGACACATCAGTTGAAATGGCAAGACTGAGCCAGATGAAAATCTGAAGACAGATTTTTCAAAGTTTAATGCACTGATGAGAGTGACTTGACAGACCAGATGGATGGGCCCGTGGCTGGATCAGTAAAGGGCACAGAACTCCACTTCAACTCCTCAGCAAAGTGGAGCTGGGGTTTTGGTATGGGCTTGTAATATTGATGAACTAGTTGGATCTTTTTGGGTTGAAAATGGACTCAAACTCAATTACCAAACCTGCCAATTTTTAGAAGACACTTTCTTCAAGCAGTGGTACAAGAAAAAGTCTGCATCTTTCAAGAAGACCATGATTTTTATGCAGGACAATGCTCCATCGCATGCATTGAAGTACTCCACTGTATGGCTAGCTAGTAAAGGCCTTACAAATGAAAGAATGACATGGCCCTCTTTTCACCTGCCCCTAAATCCTATTGAGAACTTGTGGGCCCTTCTTAAATGGAAGATTTACAGTGAAGGAAAACAGTACACCTTTCTGAACAGTGTCTGGGAGGCTGTGGTTGCGCAAAAAGTTGATCATCAACAGATTAAGAAACTGACAGACTCCATAAATGGAAGGCTTATGACTGTTATTGAAAGAAGGATGGCTATATTGCTCACTGATTTTGTGTTTGTGTGAGTTTGTGTGTGAAATGTCAGAAATATTTATTTGTACATTTTGAGTTTTATTATTCTCAGTTTAACAGATGCAAATAAAAGAGGTGGGCAAATTTTCATTTTTTTCATTTAGTTGCATGACAATTCTGCACACTAATACTTGCCCAATAATTGTACGCACATAGATATTCTCCTAAGAAAGCCAAAACTTCACTTTTACTTTCTTAAATATCCAGGTTTGGGATTTATTAACATTTTGGATTGACTAAGGGCACTGAAGTTGTTCAATAATAAAATTAATCCTCAAAAACGCAACTTGTCTAATAATTGTGCACACAGTGTATTATAGCTCTTTATTTCAAATAACTAATATTCTAATTGTCAGTAAAATATGGTAAAATATCTGTTTAGAGTCAATCAAAATATATTTCAGTACTGATAATTTCTTAGGACTTTTAGATGCTGTTGATGCATGTGAATTAAACTATGGAGTCAGAAGACATTTTAAATGTGTGTACTGCCTTTCCTCAGTTTAGAGGAAAGATTTCTCTTGCAATAGCTCAAATAGTTAAAAATATAATTGGCAAAAAACTGATGTAAAATATTAATAACTCTATTAGCCATGATTTACAAAGGAGAGAGATCTACCAAGTTTGGGAACTGGGTATCTGTATCTTACAAACACATTGCAAAATAATTCCATTAAAACTCAATGGAATATGAGACTGATGATATATATAATTAAAACTGTAGATTGTAGCTATATAATACTGTGAATAGGAGATTACTGAAAATAGGAGTTGCAGTTCCAAACTTCTTTGCAAGTTGCAGTCCCAAACTTCTTTGTCAATATGTATTTTAGAATAAAATTCAACATAGACAGATCTCATTCTGCATAGGGTGATTGCCATGGTTTCCAGTCCTTGAGTGGCATTCTGCAGGTGGCAATGCAAGAACTCCAAGCTTGTCCCCCTTAACCCCTCCCTCCAGTTTGGGATTCCACCACAAATATGAACTGCTGCCATTGGCTGAAGGTCCTTTCAGTGCTAAGGATCTTTGCTCTTCAGTCAAAACAGGGCATTTTATTAATATTTAATGAGTACATTAATTGCTAGTTAATTATTTAATATTGTGCATACACTGAAATAGTCCAGCAAAAATTGTTTCACAGTGGATTTGTTATTTTTCCCCATTTGGATAGGCATTTTGTTCCAAACATAACTTTTGGTCATCCTGTTGTAGAGAGCCTTCGGAAGCAGCTGGGTCAGCAGTCCTTTTTTGGTAAGCTGTTATTCTTTATTAATTTTAGGTTAATGTTAGGTTTTGAATTAGAATTATCCTCTTCTTACTTCAATATTGTTTTGAGCTGTAGAATTGTGCATAAGATGTGGAAGAAGTGCCATCTGAAGATGGTTTAAAGCAGGGATCCCCAACCTTTTCGACGCCGCGGCCCGGTTCCGGCGTCAGCTGGGCGCCGCGGCCCGGTTCCGGCGTCAGCTGGGCGCCGCCATCTTTTTTGACGAAAAATTGCTTTTTTTACCAAAAAAGATGGCGGCGCCCAGCAACCAGCGGCCCGGTAAGGCTTGTTCCGCGGCCCGGTACCGGTCCGCGGACCGGCAGTTGGGGACCCCTGGTTTAAAGCATCCAAAAGGCTGTTTTTTACAATATGTTAGCATATCTGAAGAGCCTCTCCTCTAGGCCTAACAGGAGCCATGTTATTTGAAAGATTCAGAGGTTGCCTTTTCCTTTTCCTGTATATGACTTCGCTTCATGAGGGCCCAGGGACTCTTCCCCATACAGCTATACAAGCAGAAATACATGAGGCAGCCTTCAAGGAAGCTATCTTAACTCTTGCAGCAGATGGTACTTTAATAATAGGTGATTCACTCAGTCTAGCACACCTTTGAATGTTTGCATGTAAGGAAAACGGTGACAATACAATCTATTCCTTTGCAACATTAGTGTATGTTAGAGATCTCTGCTAATATGTGCTACTATATATATTTTGTTTAAAATGTGGTGGACATATCAGTTTTCTTCGTTACTACGGTATGAAAGAGAAGGCTCAAACAAATTGTTCTTAAGGTGAGGGGATTGCAAAAAAGTGAAATGATTTGGATTTAGGGGTTTGCTGTTTATAATCAATATTGTATTTAATATTTTGTTTATTCTGTTAAATATTAATCTGAGGTAAGTATAGTACCAGTGGGCACAACAATCATGACTGCCCATTTTTAAATCTAGCAAGACCTGTTGCCCCTTATTTACTTAAAAACATAAGCACTCCTTTTTAAAATGGATTTTAGTAAAGCAGTATTGCTGCAGCTTCTGACATTCCCAGACTTACCTTTCTCTTTCCTAGTTGTTTCTGGAGTCCATTTTAGAACAGACTTAAAGGAGGGGCAAGAAACCTTTTTTCAAGGAGTAGAATTTTACTATTTTTTTAAAAAAACTTCTGGGTTGCTTTCAGCTCTATTTTTATTTTCCATGGATGTGCAGAAATTAAATGATACTAATATGGTGGTTACAGCTCAGCCTTTCCTATTGATTATAGTATAAATTGAATCATGATTGATCATATAATTACTTGTTTAAATAATTAAAACACTTCTTGGAGAGCAAGCCTTGCTGCTCTAGTGGGTTCTGGGGTTCTTCATTGGTCAGGACCAGTGGTGGGCTCCTGCTGGTTCGGACCGGTAGTTCCACCCCTGCCCTATCCTGCCCTATATTTCCATCTTTCTCAGCTCAGCTGATTTGCACAGCACAACTGTTCTACTTACCGAGGCTGCCCTAGAAGGCAAGCTGTTGAGATTCAAAGTGGTGTTTTTTGAATGCTGCACACTCACAGAACTGGTTGTTAAACCAGTTGCAGCCCACCATTGGTCAGGACTTCTTGGAAAAGAGGAAGAGGCCATAAGTTGAGGTGGTAAGGGGTTCCCCTCACTAGATGGCATGCCGGTGGCACAAGCAAGGGTTGTGAGCAGCTCTAATAACAACAAAACAAGGTGTCCAGGCAAGTATCATTGCCATCAGAAATTTCGGAATGATAGGCGAAAAACATATTAACAAGTTTTTTTAAAAAAAATTAAGGCATTAGTAACCCCCCAAACAGATTGATATGTTAGTATTTGAGGGGGAAAGCCTACTAGATATGTATGTACATGGGTACTGAGTGCTAAAAGCTTACCGCTGGCTCCTAATATCTTTTATATCCAAAAACCGTGACAGACAATGATTTATAAATTGGGACTGTCCTCTGGTTGAATGATTCAGAAAATATGCAATCCAGTAATTTGTGCTTCTGATCTTATTTTATTCTTTCTAGATATGCATATGATGGTTGCTAAACCAGAACAGTGGGTAAAGCCTATGGCTGTAGCCGGTGCAAATCAGTATACCTTTCATATAGAAGCTACTGATAATCCAGGGGCCCTCATCAAAGATATAAGAGAAAATGGAATGAAGGTGAGAGGTTTGGAATTGTTAAAATTTAGTAACTCCTCTTTTCAACGAATGGTTAGCACCTGCTTTGGGGTAGATTAAGGGTCAGTGGAGTTCAAGAGAAGGGGGCCTGGACTTAGTTCTGTTGTGGTTACATAAGGATTCTAGGCTGATCCCTCTTTTAATACCACTCCCAGGTTCTGCCACTCCTTTTCCTACATTATATCTCTATTAATACTCTTATTCCTTATTCCTTTAAAATACCAAAAAAATATACATTGTATTGCAGAAATCTGTTTTTCCCCTTCTGTTTAGTTGTATCCAATTCTTGGAGACAGCTTGGACAGGTTCCTGCAGTTTTCTCAGCAAGATTTTTCAGAAGTGGTTTTTCTATTGCCTTCTTCCTAAATCTGACAAAAGTAATGGCTCAAGGTCACCACTGGTTCTGTGCCTAAGATGAATCTAGAACTCATGGTCTCCTTATTTCTCATTTATGTTTTAACCACTATAACAAATTGGCTGCTAAGGTGTTACACTTTCAGTAAAACAATCCTTAATCTCGCATAGCTCTGATGTCACATAATAGACTTAGATCTTCTATATTCTAGGGCTTCTTATATCTCTGATTGATGAGGCACTTTATTTTTCTAGTTGCCTTCGTTATGTTAATGTGGGAATTAGTTCTAAACCAGGGGGATCAAACTGGATTTCTTCGAGGGATGGATCAGTATTGTAGTTCTCTGCAGGTTGGCTGAGGGGAAGGGTGTGGGAGGAGATTGGATGGATGCCTACTGCAGCACCCTGCTGGCCAAAACGGGGCACGCATGTCCAGCCTGTTGTTTTTTTTTGCCCGTACGGCCTCCTGTAGCACCCTGCCGGCCAAAATGGGGTGCACGGCCAATTTTCCCTAGTAGAAGCACCACGGGCCGGTCCTTTGCTATTTCCAGGTTGGCCCTGTGGGCCAGATTTAAGCACCCTGCGGGCCTTGAATTTGACACCCCTGATCTAAACATTTTCTAATCGATAGGAATCAAAGCTCAGACCAGGAACCATGCAGAAAAAAATACTACACTCTGGCCCAAGAAAGTAACTGCCAGTTTTCCTGCAGAAAATTTCTGTTTGACCGGAACAAACACTTGAAACTTTTCAATGTCCCATCATTCACAATAACTCAAAACAAGCCTTTTACTTTACTTCCCAGTTGGTTATCTTAGGCCACAAATGTAAGTGAACAGTAGTCCCTGCTTGCTATTTATCATCTGACCTATAAAAAGTTAGAAGACAATGATTTTGCATGTCTCATTAAAAGCCACAGAATTAAATCCAACAGAGCAAACAGCACTAGAATCACTTTAACACAGCTCATGAATAACTTGTCAACTGCAAAAGTACACTTCTCTACTTGTGAAAATTATACATCAGTATAATTCTGCATTTGTACCACAGAACAGTACCTGTAACACATATACGTTACGTATATTGTATACTTTGGAAACTGAATTTCTAAAAAGGGAACCTCAACAAGAGTACTCTAGAGCAGGGGTCTCCAACCTTGGCAACTTTAAGACTTGTGGACTTCAACTCCCAGAATTCCTCAGCCAGCTTTGCTGGCTGAGGAATTCTGGGAGTTGAAGTCCACAAGTCTTAAAGTTGCCAAGGTTGGAGACCCCTGCTCTAGAATGTTTACACAAAACATTTCACCCTGATTCCTGTTCTCCTTTTAGCTAGCTCCAGCCCATAGCAGCAAAGATGAAACCAATTTACCCCATGTCTATATGGTCTGAACAGTTTAGAAAAGGGGTGTCAAAGTCAAAAGCCCACATGCCAGATCTGGCCCATGGGATGCTTAAATCTGGCCCGTGGGGCTGGCGTGGAAATAGCAAAGGACCGGCCCACAGTGTCTCTGGCAGTAAAATGGCCACCCAGGGTGCTGCAGTAGGCCATCCAGATCAAAAATGGGGCATGGGGAGCCCTCAAGTACCCCTTGCATCCCATTCTGGCTGCAGGAGGCATCTATCCCATCTCCCCCCTCCAGCCATCTCGCAGAGAACTACAATACTGATCCGGCCCTCGAATAAATCCAGTTTGACACCCCTGGTTTAGAAGGACCCCCCTTTCACAAATGTCAAAGTACTCAAAGCAACATGTATTGACCCACCCCTTTTGTCTTAAACTTAGAACAATGGATTTTTTTCTTTGAGCTCAAACACTAAAATACTTGGAAATCATACACTGTGCACATACATACCAATCACTATAATGGGTGATGCTGTTTAATCACAAGTTTATGACTGATGCGTCCATACAATTCTGAACTCCTGAGTACATTAAGCAAACATTAGCTTAGTACATGTTGGCGAATCTTTTCGGCACTGAATGCGGAAATGGGAGTGTGCGCGCGGGACAGTGCTGGAAACCAGAACAGCTCCCTGGCGCACATGCGTGCGCTAAGACCAGCTGGCCAGCACTCGTGTGCGGTGGAAACTGGAAGCTCTTCCAGTTTCCGGAGCTCCCACGCACACAAAGACCAGCTGGCCAGTGCGCCCCAGAACCCAGAGCAATGGGAAACAGCTAGCGTGCCCAGAGAGATGGCTCTGCGTGCCACTTCCAGCATGCATGCCTTTGGTTCGCCATAACGGGCTTAGCAGTTGTACATTGGAAGTAATCTATTTTTTTCTTTGCCATTGGAAAGTTTATTTGACAGGGCTTTTTACTAATATATGTTGGGAATAACTTTGAATCTTTTTGTTTCTTTTCTAAAAGATTCAGGATACAAGTTCTTTTAAAATTTTGGTCCTTTTCTTCTTTAGGTTGGTTTGGCTATCAAACCAGGAACCACAGTAGATTTTTTAGCACCATGGGCCAATCAGATAGACATGGCTTTAGTTATGACAGTGGAACCTGGCTTTGGTGGACAAAAGTTCATGGAAGATATGATGCCAAAGGTAAGTTTGCCAATTATTTAAAAAATCGCAGCATTATGAAAAAGTAATGGGAATCTTAAACATTTTAATTGAGAATGTTCAAACCATATATTGATGTCTACTTTTTGCATATTATAAGAAAAATAATTAGTGCTCCTGTTAATTGATGTTGTTCTTTCTGCATTGCTAATTAGGTTCACTGGCTGAGAACTCAATTTCCTTCTTTGGATATTGAAGTAGATGGTGGCGTAGGGCCAGATACTATACATAAATGTGCGGAGGTAAGACTAAGAGATAGTCCATATTAAATGAAAAATTGTAATTATTGGAACTTGTTATGTCTAGGTAATCCAGTTTTTTAAATCTCAGTTTAATATTAAACTTTTTTTTCATTCTGATTAAATATAGAAGTAACTTTTTCGCAAAGCATTTGAGTATTCATTTGTAGTTTTGACAAACCTTGATGCTTCTTGCTGATTAGGAGTAATAAGGAAAGTATAATTAAAGGTGCTGATCTGGCTAACTGCTGTTCGTTTTCCATTAGAATGTATACATATTTCACAATTTTCTATAATTCATTATTGCTTGTTTATTTTAAAAATTCTTATGCAGTGTCATGGGATTTGCTTTTAGGCAGGTGCAAATATGATTGTGTCTGGGAGTGCTATAATGAAGAGTGACGACCCTAGAGCTGTGATTAACCTTCTGAGGAATGCCTGTTGTGAAGCTGCTCAAAAGCGTTCTCTTGATCGGTAAAATCAGGTTGCAGCCAGACGGGTTGCATTTTACTGTTCTCATTATGGCTCGGTTGGGATACCATTGTGGAATAAACAAGAAAGACATCAACTTTGGAGGCTCATTTTATGACCAAAAAAACCCAAGCACAATGCACAGTAAGAGTGTCTTGTGATTTTGGAGAAAATGCTCTGCTTGCTCCTTGATTTCATGCAGCACTTTGTCATGGAAAAGTTTTTTTAAAAAAAAAAAAAAAAATACAAATGTGGTAATTCCTTAAAATGCTAAATAATAACCCTTGAATTGGAAAAGTTTGAAGGGTAACTTGGCCTTGATGAACAATTATAGGTCTAATCCACTTTAAGAATAAAAATGGGAGGGTAAATATGAGAAATGGAAGGATGGAAATGGAGCAGGAAATCTGCTTCAATGTTCTGAATATGAAAATAACAGCAAAAGTTGCAAACCATTAAAAAGATAAGATCATGAATATATAATCTGTAAAACTTTTAAAAATTGTAATCAGTTATAACTGTTAACATGACAGAAGGAAAAACTATTAAATACTTTGAAAGTAATTTATATTAAATGTTTCAATTTAAATGTATTTCCTAGAATCCACACATTTCTTGGTTGTACCCTCAGCCTGAAAAAGAATGCATACTTTGAGGAAATGTTAATTATCATTCAGCTTGTATACATTATTTGAAAATTGAAAATAATTTTGTTTTTTTAATGCATATGCACACCCTTTTGGTTCCCAATTGATACAGATGTTTCAGAAATTTCATTTCAGTTATACAGTACTTTATACTATAAAAGTACTTAAGAAAATGTTATGATTTGGTGCCTGTCAAATGCCTTTTCAACAAAAAACAGTCTTCCAGTCAAAATTGGCATATCAAATTACGACATTTCTATCATTTTCTTAAGAAAAATATGATAATGAAGACAAACATTGCAGTTCTCTTTTCAGTGGAATGTTTGATGCTAATCTCTTTAATTGCTTTTATTGAGAATATATTTTGAAATTAAAAAAATAATTTGATCCATTTCCTTCTCTTTTTATACTGACAAAACAGTGGGAAACAGCGTTAAAGAATGGGACGAACAGATTTTTTTAAAAAATGTTTTTGTTGATCCTTCTATCTTGACTTGCATAAAGAGTAAGCTGACAAGTAGAAAAGCAAGAAAAAATAGTTTCTGTTGTTTAATTGAACTAAAATAAATATTTTTTACTCCAGGTTGGGCAGATGAGGTAGTTAAATGCATACTTTTTTGTTGTTTTTGAAACTGATAGCAAACATTTAGGAATTCTGGCTTTGGTCAGGGACTCTTATTTAATCTGCAAAGGCTGCAATCCAGTACAAATGTGGCTAAGAGTAAGCCCTATTGAATTCAACAGAATATTTGATAAAACATAATAAATTTGACTAGGAAATTTTGCATATGTTAAAAATAATGCAATGTAATGGTTTACATAGGTCTTTAAATTCTTTAAAATAACTAAGTAGAAGTTAGCACACATAAAACAGGCATTTATAATAGACCAAGCAATGTATATTATGAATTACATATCCTTCACTTGTCAGCAACTGTAAGAACAAAAGATTTTCACAAGGAATTTATCACTATGAAAAAATAACTTACCAGAAAAAAGAATTTAATCTTTCAAATGATCAAAACCCACCTTTTAGCCAATATTAATAAAGATGTAAATCGGAATTAGCTCTGTTTTAAGAGTGAGAATCAAATCAACAAAATAAAAATCCTTTTTTAAAGAATGCATGTTTTCATTTTTCACATTCTGGCTGGATACTCATATATTAGAAGTCATAGTAATTTATATATTAAGAAATGTGAGTAAGACGATAAACCGGGAATGAAGTTGACCAACAAAATACAGACTTTGGCTTTGGCAAGCAAATCAGAGGGGGGGGGGATGTCATTTCATATTCATCACAATTATGTAAAACATTTGATGCCAAGCCAACAGTATCTCCCAATCATGATTTGTCATAGTTAAATACAAAATACTAAAGGGATTCTATATTTATGTTCATTTTTTGATACATATTTCAATCCATTAACATCACACTGTAGTATAGAGAAATAACTTTTAATTTTAAAACCTTGCATTGAAAATTGGCGTATCAGAGGCAAGATTCAAAGTTAATTTCCTGGACAAAGTATTTAAAAAGCTAAAACCAAAATATATAGGAAACTACAATCTAACATAGGCTGTAGTGTGAAAAGGCAACTTAACATTTTTATATTAGCCAGTGTACTTCTAATCCGCTGGGGACAATGAAACACTAAAATTTGGCCATCTACCCATTAAAGTTTACTTGACAGTTTTAAAAAGCATACTTAATAATAGTATGTTAATAAAAGCCATCAATAGTTCCTCACAGAAGAGCTATCATCTTGAATTGGTAGCAGTAAATGCACACAACAGTCCTGTGCAATATCTATTCACCTAGCATTCCCTGGTGGATACAGGTAACATTGCAATGCAGCATTTTGAAATTTGTATGAGAACTTTTTCATCTGTCTTATCATTATCTAAAAGAGCTATTTCCTTGCTCATAATGCTTATATTTAAATGTTCTCTTTTCCATGTATATTTAAAGTTTCTAAGATACAAAAATGGATGCTCATAATCCGCTGATTGTAGCACATATATAGTGTTTGTAGGGATACAAAAGAGTTAAATAAGTAAAAATACTGCTTAAATGCAATAGAAATAGTAGATTCTCTTACTTAAGAAATCTGAATTTCTCAGATACTTCTAGTACTTACCTTTAGTACTAGAAGTACATCTAGTACTTCTAGTACTTACCTTTAAAATAATTGGGGGGGGGGAGAGAAATCCATTGAAGTATAGAAAATTAAATCATTTAAACTGACTTTATCTCATCTGTAACTTGCCTAGCCTAATGAATGCAAGTATGTGTTTCATTTATAAATTTATAGATTATTGATTTCTTTTACCACTTGCTATATGCAAAGATATATTTTGCTTCATTGCAATAAGTAGACACTTTGCATATTTGATCAAGATGGGGCAGTTGAGGTTACAGTTTAAGAGCATCCACTTTTCACAGGTATATTAGTCCACCGGACAGAAAACATTCTTCTTGGGAATTCAGATAAATATAAATAGCTCTTGCATTCTCATCCTGCCTGTAAAAAAAGTCAAAAAAATATATTGTAAATATAAATATTATGAAGAAAATGATTGCTTGCATGAGCATGAAATTATATTACCTTACATCTTTCTTCCACTTGATTTACTTTTCTAAATAAGTAACTTTACTTTCTGTCACGTCTGTTTTTTCCCCAAGTAAATTTGGTGGTGGTCTTCCACTTCAGAGATGATGGAACTTTCCTTTTGTGGCTGATTATCATTCAGAAAACTAAATGCCGTGTATGGATTATGGTCAGAGTCTCTAAGAACAGACATATCTGAACATTCTTGATGAACTGCTGGCGGATGTTGGGGTATTAAAGCTTCTACTTCTTCATTTTTTAGTGGAAAAGTCCGCTGTTTCCAGAGAAGAGTCTGACAGAGATGAAAGATAAAAGGCACTGAAAATAAACTTTTAGCAAAGTGTGTGTCTTAACCACTATTTTTAAGATTAGTCACATCCACCCATGCCAGTACTTGCAGATAGGAAGGGGGAACTGTCTTAATTTTTCAACAGATGGAAAGAAAAGAATTAGAAATGCAAATGGCTGCAGATATAACTGCTGCACTAACTGGATGCCCTGGAAAAGAAGCAACTACTATGGTGAGGCTGCCTGGAAGCCTTTTATAATGCCTAAATAAGTTATTATAAAATAATAACTTGATTCTTCTTCCCTATCCTGGTCTTGCTAGGAGATGGGTATATATACATTTGATAAAGTTGTGATTATTAACAATTTACTTCTCCTTTCCCATTTGCATCCAATTTGTTCCCCCTCTCTTCCCTACCTTACTTCACTTCACCCCTTTCCATTCCATTATCCCCACCTCACCTCCTTTTTCGGTGTCTGCCAGAATGGAAAGGAAGATGTGCTTGTGTATATAAAAGAAAGGAAAAATATGGCCACATATATTGGAGATCAATTTTGTAAGTGTACTTTTTCTGCAGGCCATTAATTTAATTAGAAACAAATTGTGATTCTCTTATTAGTTCTAGGGCGTGCAGCTTCAAGCCAATGTCCATATTCAAGTTTTTCATACCGTTTGCCCCAAAATAAGATATTTTTTGCCACAAAAAAGGCACCAGGTCTTATTTTCGGGGGATGTCATCCACTGACTAATCTCACTTGCGCATGTCGCCCCCGGCCTCCTTTTCGCTAAGAGGCCTTCATGAACTACCACTTCTGTGGCCGGCAAGGCTTTCCTGAAGGCTTCTGCAGCTGATAACAGAGCTCCGGATCGATCCAGATTCTTCTTCAATGCAGAAGAAATGGGCTGGCAAGGCAGGTGTTAGGGTGTGTGAGGCCTGGCTACAACTGTCCAAAGGTAAGTAGTAGGGCAGCTCCACCCTCCCTTCCCCCCAGCTTAATTTTTACCAGTCTACTCTGGAGTGGATGGGATCTTAATTAAGGCTTATTTTGGGGATAGGACTTATATTGGGTGCACGTGTAAAACTCAAGTGAGGACTTACTTTCAGGGTAGGTTGTATTTACAGGAAAATGGTATATATATACAGGAAAATGGTATATACAGGAAAATGGTATATATGAAGGAAGAAAGGAATCTCCAAAAGTGATTTTAACTGGAATTGGTAACTAGATGACAAGGAAGAAAGCTGGGCACTGTGGAGTTTTTTTTAACATAGTCTTTTTAAATGAAAGAAGTTCAAGATTATTTTTGGAGTAGATATGCTATATATCTTGTACAAAATATTTGCAGTGATTCTTAATTCTGATACTGGAAGCTCTAAAATCACATCATTTGCATCAACTTAAAATTTACACAGTGACAAAAGTTTCATTTAGAAGGTTAAATTAAACAGCTTGGGGAAGCTTCATACAATATAATCTAACATACTACCCCCAAATAAATAAATAAATTATTGCAATGAAATAAATATGTATTGAGTTGCGTTTCTCCAATGCATTAAATAAATTAAATTAAATAAAGTGTTCTAGTATATTAAAATGCTTTAATGAACAATAACACAAACACTTTATAACACGAATGATCTAAGCAGGATTTTTTTTAAAGGAAATTCCTAAATAGTTCAGTTTGGTCCTTTTAACTGTTCTTCAATAAACTCAACAATAATTACATATTTAAATTGCATATTCATTAATGTGTGCATTACCATTGATATTTTTTTTCCTGAAGACTGTGATGTTCCCAAATATTGAGAATTACAGGCTTCTGAAGTTATGCCTGCAGTGTTTTCCGAAATATAGGTTGTTAAATTAGAATTTGCTTGTTTTTCTTTCAGTGATGCATCTTGTTCCTCTAAATTTCTGCTATATGACCTATAATGAAATAAAATAAGCTCTAGTTTCTTTCAGTAACAATGATCTGATGAACAATAAGATGATGGAAGAAGAATCTCTAAAATCTCTAACAATAAATGTAATTCTAAAGGGAACTTTTAGGAAACAAAAACACATTTTTTTCCACTGTATATAAAGTTTTTAATATTTTTAATCAGTCTTTTTAATGTTTTATTTGTGGAACAGTCCATAATCTTTCTGTGATTCTATCTGTCCTACATCTTTTAAAAATACTTTTACTTTCATAGTAAAGGATGAATATGAAAGATTGCTGAAAATGATGAAAGAGAAGAAAGCAAAGATTGTGTTTTTTGATTTCTTGGAATCACAGTATGAGAAAGGTGCCAAATGATCCAGTGTAATAGAGTTAATACCCATGGGATCAAGTCTGTGGAACATATTTTTCATATCTCTTCCATTTGATTTGATTTGATTCTATTAACTATATTATTGCTAAAAGGAGATGGAGGAGCTGTTATAATATAAAAGACTAGATATGACTGGAATTCATCATAAACTGTTCCTATGTAAGCTTCAAAGCCAGTCAATTTATATGATATAATATTGAATATATATCCACCATTTTAAAGAAGAACATCAGGAATAGCTTTGAAGTCCTGAACCACATTAATAGAGAATTATGGAATGAAATTAAAGAAATGGTTAAGGATGAATGTGAAAGGAAACTGCTGAAAATGAAGGAAGAAAAAAAGCAAACTGGATGTTAGAATAAACTGGAACAGAAGAGAAGCAAAAGCCAAGAAAGGGTGGGGGGATCTCCAAAAAGAATTTAACAAAAGAGCTTTTAGAAAAGACAAAAAGCAATATTACAACATCTGTAAAGATACTGAAGATGGAAACAAATGTGGGGGGAAAGGAAAACTTTTGAAATACAGCATAAACTAGACAGAGATGTCAGCATCTAAGATATCTTAGAATGTATTCCTTACTTATAAGAACCTCTAGTACTAAAATATGAAGTCAGATCAGCACTCCAGTCATTACCAAGTCTAGAAGTTATATGAACTGATGGAATACTCATGATGAACATGGCAACCAAAAGAACATAAACTAGTCAATTCTAACCAAGCTATGCCAGCAAATCTGAAGAAAGACATAGGGGCTAACCAAGTGGAAGATGTCAATCTAGATTCCAATACTAAAAGAAAGATTTAACAGAGTGTGCAAATTATCGTACAATATCTGGTGGCCTTTTAGGGTGTACAGGTACTCTTGGTGGCAAAGGTAACAGTCTGGTGGTCACTTCCGGCGGCCTTTTAGGGTTGACAGGTACTCTTGGTACCAATCGTGAAAGTCTGGAAGCTGCTTCTGGCGCCCTTTCTGGGTTGGAATGGTACTCTTGCTTCCACGGCATCAACGAGCATTGGGAAGGTGTTGGAAAGGGTGTTGCGTAGGCATATGCCCATGTAGAGCGTCTTAGTGGACGTCTGGTGGTTGCTGACGGCCGTTTAGGGTATCCTAGTGAAAGTGTCCTGATTGCCGGCGGCCTTTTAATCTGGAACCGCATTCTTGTTTTCAATGGTGCTAAAGGGCGTCGGAAGGCAGTTGGAATGGATGGTGCTAAGGCATTTGCCTGGATTGGGGTCTGCATCCGATCGACACTGACAATTCCTACGATCCCCATCCTAGTGGAGATTTGATGGCCACTGGGCCATTTACAGGGCCAACTGACTCGGAGAAGAGAAAGGCACGTGGGGCATTATTTCCCAGCAAGAGTAGGATCTCAGCCTCCGGATCTAGAGCGGGGAAGTGATGAGCCAGGTGCTGTAGGTGAGGCATGCTACTTATGACCTTAGGTGTTGCGATCTGACTGCGGTCGTTCGGCACCCCATCTCATTCAAACACAGGCGGCAGTGGGAACCAGGAACTTCCATCCAATGACTCTATGCAGAGTCCAGTAGCTCTCCTCCCCGCCATGCTTCTTGGTCCATGGCACGTTGATACAGTGAAGTTCATTCTGTTGCACCTCAAAGATGTCGAAGAATATGCGTCTTGCCAGGGTGCAGGTGCTTTGAGTATCTATCTGCACGTACATTTTCACGGCATCTTCAGGGTGTCATTCAGGATACACTTTGGCTAAACAGATGGGAAGACACGAAAGAGGGCATGGTGAGTTGGCGCACAGTGCTGTGCAGTTGACATTCATCCTTGGTTTTGATTGCGGTTTGTCTGACTGCCGAGGAGCCCTGCATGCTTCTGTGTTACGTTGAGGCTCCTTGTCCGAAGTTAACAACAGCACTGAAATAATTTTATGGCCAGTCCTGTCATTTACAACCATTACAGTTTTCTCAGTTACAATTGCCATTTAGGTGGTTTGCAACCTGCACACATTTCCAACTGTTGCAGTATCCACAATCATGTGATTCCCACTTGCATGTTTCACAGCCAGCTTCTGCTAAGCAGAGTCAGTGGAGAAGCCACAAATAAAATTGCAAGCCACACTCTGTGCCATTTCACTTAAACTCTAGTGACTTCCTTCATGACTAACTGGGAAGTGCTATAAGTGCATTCTGGTCAAGTGATATTTCACTTAATGACCATTTCAGTTAGTGATGGTGTTCCTGGTCCCAGCTGTGGTAGCTAAGCAAGGACTACTTGCATACAAGAAATAAGCAGAATGGCAGACAATTACTTGATATGAACATCATTCTTGGAGGAGGGCCATTTCTGGCTTAAACATTTTTTATACTTATAAATATATATTTAGGGTTGGTCACCCTGCAGCGAAAACATAATAAAGATATCTGTCCTGAGCATGAACAAAAGCATCACTTAGGAATCCACTGCTTTCAAGAATAGACTGGACAACCATTTGGCCAGGATGTATAAGTTGTCTTGTCTTGAGCAGGGGCTTGGACTAGAAGACCTCCAAGGTCCCTGCCAGTTCTATGATTCTGTTTCTGCTGTAGTCATTGTGGTATTAGGAGTTTCCAACTGAGAATTATTTATGAAAGTCATTGTAGACATTTTGAAAAAAGAAATGTCTTTCTTTCTAAAAGAGGCAATTGCGAAGAGTGAGGAAAATACAGAAGATGGAATAGTTCGTATGTGAACAAGGAGATGCAATTTTAGACATGATTTTTTTTTCTAGCTAGCCATGAAAGGCATGCAACCTTGGCCTGGTAGGCGTTCAAAAGAGTTCTTCCAATAAGCAGACTATAAGTCAGCCTCTGAAGCTTTACCCAAAGGCCAGGTAACCTGAACAAATGAAAAATATCATGGACATAATCCCAAAGACGGAAAAATTAGTTAGTAGCCAATTGTCTGAAATCCATAATGGGAGAGTGTAAGTGCCTTGCAACCAATGAATGTGAATCAGTTACCTGTTAATGTCCCCTCAGTACCCTACAGAACTGTTTTATCAACTGACCAACGAGAAATGTCTATGGAGATTCTCAGTCATCCAGGTCATGGTTGTGATTACATCTTTCTTTGAGCCTTCCTGACCGTTTCCCTGTCTGACATTGGTAAAACTACAATTTAATTACAGTCTTCTATTTTTATCAAACATTACTGACTAGATGTCAAGAGATGGACAGATAAATTATCATTTGTTATTATGGTACACTTATCTCCTCTACCACTTAAATAACATTGTCATTCATTCATTCGTTCATACATACAAGTATTACATAGAGAATTTGTAGAAGACTGCATTCACACAACCCAGTCATAATTTTTGGCAAAATTGGGTCTTTAACCTTGCAGAGATGTCTGGTATTGCTTTCATCCCTTGATCGCTCCCAAACTGTTTTCCTTTTATAAAAGGCAAGATCTGGAGAAATCACATCCAAAAGCATGCATGCTGGAGGGGGTAATTTGTTTTGTTTTTTAAATTCTTCACAGTTTTTGAAGATTCTGACATGGAGCTCTGCCCAAGAACATTAATCTTTTGAGGTAGCACAGATGACCAATCCAGTAATGATTTGAACAAATAATCAGCCTATTAATCACATTGTTAAAGCTTTATTCACATATTGGTGAGCCTGTAATGTTCCAGAACTTACATTCAAATAGGAGGCTTGCCCTTTCCCTTTAGTATGGCTCAGCTTCAGCTAATCCTACAGTTCTTACAGTAAGACTTAGGTAATTATGCTGACACAAGCATTATATTTGCAATACTAAATTGTCATTTGAATAGTAGTAAAGCAAGATTCAAATAGCCCCAATAACATAACTAGTTTTATAAGAGAAACCTGGCTGAAGAAATTGAAACTACTAGCAATAAACAAAATGTAATTCCAATATCTTTTAATTTCAACCTGCCTATTCCTTCTAGGACATCGACACTTTTCCCACAGTGACCACCGTGCTCTTTCTTTGTCTTCATATTTTGAATGACGTGCAGCATAGACATCATCAGACAGATCTTCTGCCTAAGTATTAGAATACTCAGATTGTAAATCTTATTTAATGAATGAGAACAGTCTTCTCACAAACAGTTATGGATTCAGCACTCTAAAAATAAACTCTACACATGTACAGTGTAATTCATTTTTACTAAACATGGAAAAAACAGTAGAATAATCCTAAAATGACATAAATGTAGAAATTACTCTTAAGAATATTATATTTAATACAGCAGAATCCCATTTTAGGACTGAGCATTGGTGAGAATCTGGGCCAACGCAAGAATGAACAATACATACTTTGTTCTTATCTTTCTCCCCATCTACCACCACAGCCTCTTTTTTCAGACACTCCATAATGATTACATGAATGAATACATACCTAGCCTGCTCCATTCTTGTTTTTAAAGACCTAAATGGACTGGAACTTTTTTTCTTACTCTGATAAGATGGTAAAATAAAAATAATACAATTTTGCTGGTTCTCTTCCATGGAGATGAGAAATTTGCTTCTCTACGTCCTATTAGTTCACCTATTAACTTGATGGTGGCCAATGCCATGACCATAATATCCTTCTGGACTCTGGCAAAGAGTGCAAGATGAAGGTTTTATGGAGATCAGTGGTGGGATGCAAAAATTCTAACCAAGCTATGTGAACGGCTATCATTCACGGCCAACTCAACATCACTCATGGCACCATGTGATGCCCACTTAGTCACATGACCAGGGTGTCACATGGTACAGAGACAGGGCGATTTCCTATGTTACCTTCCCCCCCCACTTCCATCCTTGGGCTGACAAAATAAAAACCCATCTAAAGATCACGACTGCCTGGCAAATGGGGTTTTGGGGTGGTTTTTTTTTTTTTTGTTAGAAGCCCCTCAGAGATGCACTATACTTTTACGGAACAATTTCTGCACCACCAAATCTTACTGTACCTCATTATTGTGGCGCTGCTTGTTGCTGCAGCGGCTGTCAGACTGCCCAAATAAAAAACCACACCGGCTCAAGGCAACTGTGGGGAGCAAGAGGGGAAGCCAAGGCACTTGCCCCATAACAGCCAACTTCATGCTCTCTTGCTCCCTTTGCACGCTTTCCCACTCCGGTTCAGCACTCCTGGTGAGCGCAAAGAGTGTGAAGGGAAGCAGACACCATGCCTCTGGGGAAAAGAGGTGGTGGCGAAACCCTGGGACACCCCAGGCAGAGGGACACCCCACTCGCCCTCGCTACTTTTGCTCTTGGCTTCTTCCATGGGGACTGAGGAGTGACAATGAGCAATCGGCAAAGTCTTCCAAAGAGAGAGGCTTAGCGTGAATTAAGGGGGGGCAGCATGGGTGGGGGTGCTTTGGCGTGCAGTGGGGATCAAAGAACAACTGTTCAGTCTCTCACCTACGAAACTGAGGATGGGAATCTTTCCAAGCAAGCCACAACAAGCAGCAGAAGAGTCTAAAACTTGGGCGCTCTTAAAGTCAATTTTTTTTTTTAAACAAGTTTTATTTTCAAGACAAACAATACATAGATACACATAAAACAAAACATAAAAGCATAAAAAATCTCTTATCTGAAAGTTGATTAGTCCCGGGTTAAAACTCTTGGTACAGACACAAATTCAAATTCATATTCATTTTACATACCATTTCATATCTTATTAACATTTTCAGTTTTCTATATGTCTTCTCCTCTCCTTTAAATTTTCTCAATTTTATTTTATTTTATTTATCTCCTCTCAATTCATATCATAATATTTATTATTCTTTGTCTGTTCTATTCCAGCCAGCCCTTTATTTTCCTTCTTTAAAAAAAAGAAAAAACTTCTCCTGTACACTATATGGAGTATGATGCCTTTATCTCTTTCCCCTACATTTATAATACTTAATATAAAACACATGACATATATTGGGATTCTGTCTGGTACATTCTAAAATTATACTATATTATCAAAAATAATACAAATCTATTCATTAGTATTAATATTCATTCATATCCTAAACATTTAAATCATTACTTTTCAATTAAATCACATACTTTTATGGGAGCCCTATTTTCCATAGTTATATATTATATCCCTCATCATATATTATAGCTCATTATTTCATTAAAAAGTACCTCCTTCTTCTACTTCAATTCTCATTTCACAAGAAATTTCGCTAGTATACCATATTCTAATCATTAATATTAACAATCATTTATATCTTAAACATTTTATCCATTTCAATTAAATATCATGCCTTTATGGGAACACTTATGCTTTTCAAAGATTATTACCCCCCCCCACATCACAATCTTAAATCATGTTTCGTTACAGTACTCCCTTTTCTTAACCAAAAATTTCACTAATTTATGTTAAATATTTTATCACATTTTAGGTTACATATTGTTTCTAATTTTCTGTTTACTTCTAAATACAAGTATAAAAATGCAGTCTTATGTATCTTTCTAGAATCCCTTTAACCATAAAGCTTATCCATTATCTCTAAAAAAAATTTGCTTCTTAACATCTTGCTCCCCACCATTAGGACTTCTCATCCCTTCCTTTCTTTCTTGTTTCTTCTTCTCCTTATCCTCTTTAACCCCTTGTCTCTCCACCTCCCTTTTATTCTGCTTTCCCCCTTTCTGTTGTTTCTTAACATAATGTCCCCTTTTCACCTTATTCTTCTCTTTTTGGGCTATTTTTCCAGATCTTAAAGACCTTTTTCCCTTTTTCTCTTGCTTTTTCTCTTCTCCAGTCAAAGTAATTTGTTCATCAAAGATGGCTTCTCCTTCTTCTTTGTCCCCATCATCCTCATTCTGCTTCACATAAATATAAACCGCCATTTCCAAGTATTGAAAAATAGTGTCAAGACCATCTTCCCCTCCTTGTTTTTCTCTTTCAAATTTTTGATATATAAGTTCCAATTCATCCATAGATGATGCCATTGTGTAGAGAAAAAGTTTTTCCAAACAACCACCCAGATGATTTAATCAGAAGTAATTTCCAAAGGTTCCAAAGTCACCAAACAATCCAAACAGACTATTTCTTTTAGATACCTTCTTCTTCTTCACTTTCTCTTTTTGGGGTTAAAGTAATCACAAATCCTTTTCAAATATATTTTTTGGAAGTTTTTAAACTCTTTGTAATTCTAGGCAATCTTCTCCTTATTTTCAAATTTTGCTCTAATTCTTTTTTTCACTCTCCCTTCCCACTCACAGCCAAAAAGGTTTTTTTTTTTTCCGTTGTCACTTTAGGAAGGAGAGTAGAACAAAGAAAAAACTTTCCCCTTTAGAATATTCGCAGCTTAAAAACTCTCACAGGGAACAATATATACTTAGCAGCCTTCAAGATTCCAGGTCATTTTCTCCCGTCTTGTCCCGGTTAGAATCAACTTTCACTTTTCTTTCAGCTTCCTCCCTCCTGCACCTGCTTGTCCGGCTGCAGCTTTCTTCGTGGCGGCCATTGCTGACCGCCGTTCCTCCGCCTCGGGAAAAGGGGGTTTAGCCGGCTGGGGAGGGGGTTTGCGACACCCCCAAACCCCTTGCCGGATCCCCCCTGTCTTCAGCTGCCTCTGCGGGGCAGCTATATCCCCCAGATTCAAATGGATCGGGGGAACCTTGACGGTGAACGCAGCAGGGATCGCGCGGTCGCGAATCCCTGCCGCCGCCGAAAGGTTGCAAACCGGAAGTCTTAAAGTCGATCTTGAAGAGCTGGAAGACATTTCGTTAGATCGCCACCAAACTCATGGTTGGGAGAGGTGTAGCCCTTGAATACACAAGAAGTCTTGGGCAAAGTTCTTCCAAAGTTCAACCAAGCCTTCTCCTCCTTCTCGGCCTCAAACATACACACAAAGCAAACATGCACATACGTCATGGCACCAGAGGGACTTGCCTATGCACCGGCTGTTCTCCTGGCCGGGTCTGGCCACGAGCGGCACCAGCAGGCAATGGGATGCACATGTGTGACTGGCATGAAGAACAGGGCGGCAACGGGACTTCAGGCCTCTTTTTCAGCCTGTAGTTTTAGGTAGTTTTCAGCACAAGAAGCCTGCAGCCACAGCCAATTTTTAAATGCGAGAAGCCTCCAGCGACTGCCTCTTTGCCAGCCGGAACCAAGCTGGCAGCGGCGGCTGGAGACTTCTTGTGCCCAAAACTACCGGTGAAAGGCAGCCAAGCCATGTTGTGCCCCTCCCACCAAGGCGATCCTTCGGAACAGAAGGTGAGCGATAAGTAGAAATCAAGGCTGCTGTGGTGATGGAACTCTCATCTTGCTCACTATGTGCTTGGACTATTTCATCACAGTATGTGGGATCCCAGGTGCAACTCACAACAACTGCTTTGCATAGCAATAGAAATTCTGGTCCCAACTGTAGTTGTAAGTTGACAATTTACCTCTATACATTTGGGCCTTTGGGATTATGGGCAGTCATCATAGGAAATCTAGGTATGGTGATATTTGGCCTTTTTATTGTGTGATTTATATGCATAATTGTTCACTGTCTATCACAATTTGGACAGGCTACAAATATCGTTAACAAGCAAACAACGAACAGGGATTATTAAAAATCAAGGTGCAGTTGACTCTGGTCAGTAAATTTGTGGACACCTGTCCAAACCAATGCTATCAGTTGACCCAATTTTAGTAAAAACTCTCAAAATATTTTTCCAACCTGTCACCCATCTTAGAACAAGAATTATACTTTTTCTTCTGCCTTTTGTGTGTAATTGTGTGTGTGTGTGCATGTGTTTGTGTGCCTTCAAATCATGCTGACTCCCTGCATTTCTCCTGGCAGTATTTTTGGAAGTGGTTTGCCATTGCCTTTTTTCCTAGAGCTGAGGGAGAGGGTCTGACCCAAGGCCACTCAGTTAGCTCTGTGTTAAATCAACATTAGAACTCATGATCTCCCAAGTTTCTAGCCTAATGTCTTAATAACTATACCAAACTGACTCTCCTCTATAGTTTTAGATAAAAATAGTCAAAGTATTTATAATTTTATTATAAAAATTATTATTATAAAATCTATTTTATTCTTCATATACAGTTAATGGGTGTTAGTATGAGGGAAACGTTATCCCTTGAAATGTGAAGATAGTTATATCCTTTGAAAGACTTGTGGTAGCTCCAAAGACAGTTCCCAGGTCTCTGAATATGCAGTTGTGCATATATAGCTGCTTCATTTCACTTGTGGCTCAAGTACTGTATGTTAATAACTGAAGCAGCCACCCAAACCTCCCAAAGGATATATCTACTTTCATGCTTTGCTCATACTAACATGCTTTCATTTCAATGCTTTCACTATCCTGATGTATCATAATTTATCTGCAAATAGAAATATAAAATTCCTCACTGTAAAGCAACAGCAAAACATAAATAGATCTTACCTTCTCTTCATCCTCATACAGTTTTTCTAAAGGCTTTAGGCTAACTATTCTCCAGCTGTTGATAAAAAAACAGTTTGAAAATAGTTCAGATAAAACTGAAATCAAATTCATTATGGAAAATAATTTCTACTCTAAACACTGCAAATAGACAATCACATAATTGAATTCTTTCTCACAGTTAATGTTTTATCTGTTTCAAAGTCATTGGCTTTGGCATAATTTAAATTAAGGTAACTTTCTCTTTTTATCTTATCAAGTCATTTGTGCAAATATACCAATGTACTGTGTTTATTTGAACATTAGACTGTGTGTTTCTATGTAAGAGTCAACCCATGTTCAATAAGATCATGATTAAAGGAGGCTGATAATTTTTTCTGTTATCTTTTGGAAAAGATTATCATAAATTAAAAGTAACTTTGCTTTTGGGTGAACATAGTATCAATTCTGCATAGTGCTACATAGCTACAAGTTTATTAACAGCCTGTACAAATGAGCAACATATTCCCGTTTTAAACAAATATTTCTCATCTGTGTTTTCTCTTTTCTTGGTATTCTTCCATCAGTTACAGTTACCTTTGTAATTGGTTCATTTTCTTTCCTTTTTCTAAGGTAGCTAAGGTAGCAATGTCCTGATAGACTAGATAGTTTCATTGACTTGCAATGAACGTCAATAATGACAAACAAATGTTGTGAATGTCTGAAAGCAGAGACACACTGATTGCTTCTGACAGGTGCTTAAGTGTAGTCATCACAATCCACTGGTATATGGTTGAAAAGTGGGGAAATATCTAGTTGCATGAAAAGGTTTGGGAGTTTTTGGTCAAATTGTATGTTTTAATAAACCCCTTTGTTTTTTGTTTTTTTACAAATGCTTCATCCTTTCTCTTCCAGATATATTGTGCAGTTGAAATCAATCAGTTTAATTTTGATTTCATTAGTCCAAAGTATCTTATCCAAAACATCTCAAGCTTAGAAATATATACTAAGGTTACGACTATTGCAACTAAATCCGATAAAGATTTCCTTCTGATAACTGTGGACCACTGTTGGAAAAGTAATGTTATACAGTGGACCTGTAACCAAGTATTCCTGTGTCAGTTCACCTTTTCAGGAGGAAGTTTGTGATCTGTATTTCAGGTGCTGTTTAGCAGTTCTAAATAGCACAGCTTTTTCTCAGTTTTCTGGATTCTTCCATTCCATTTAATTTCCATTTCTTAATAATGTTTCTTTCAGTTGAAATAAGTAGAAACGTTTAGATAGTTAGATATTTTTTAGCCCTCTACTGCTTTTCAAAAGTAAATTATTTCCATTTTTAAATGCTCAGAAATCTGCTTAAAAGACTCCATGATTGTTAAAAATATTTAATTATTTTCCCTAAGCCAGGGGTGTCAAACTTAAGGCCCGCGGGGTGCTTATCTGGCCTGCAGGGCTGCCCTGGAAACAGCGAAGGACTGGCCTGCAGTGCCTCTGCCAGTAAAAATGGAGCATGGAAGGGCCGCCGTATGGCTCTCCCAGGCCCCATTTTCAGCCGTGACGGCCTCCTTTGCAGCCCCCTGCCAGAGAAAATGGAGGTCCGTTTTCTCTGGCAGAGGGCTGCTGGAGGCTGTTGTGACCAAAAATGAGCCCGGGGGGCTGGCACACACGGTCCACCCGAGCTTTGTTTTCGCTGGCAGAGTGCTCGGGCCACCACAGGTAGCCCCAACATGAGTGATGTCAAGCTGGCCATGCCCACCCCAGCCACAGAAGTCAAACACAACCCTGATGTGACGCTCAATGAAATCGAGTTTGACATCCCTGCCCTAGGCAAACATAGATCTGATTCATTTGCCATTAGTAACTTAATACTACTAACAACTTTACAGAAAAGGATGGTGACAGCTGAATGAATCAACTTGAAGGATATCCAAACTTTCGTATATGCCATAATTATGTAGAGGTGATTCAGCTTCTGTTCCCTTGGGGATTTATTAAATGGTTTCACAAGGAATGCAACTGGATTTTTAAGCATTCATAACATTACTTTAACATGAATATATGTAGTATGATGGTGTCAAATTCTGAATTTATACGGCAATAATGAAACATAAGCATTTTACTTTAAACATGTACAGTTTAAACATTTGAATATTTAAGAATTTTCATCTAAAGTATCTTAATCTTTTGTCCCTACCGCAATATTAAATACACAGAAAACACATTAATTGCACTAAAGTCTGTTCATTTATTTGAATGTTGTATGATTTGATCAACAATAAACAGAGTTTATTATCTTTAGCAATACAAATCCTACAACTTTTCTGAATTAGCCTTGCTATTAATCCATGAGATAGGTCTCTAATATATTTGTTTTACAGAAAAGAAATTTAGATTTGTATAAACTTATGATCCAACATAAGACATCTGTAACAGGAATCAAACCAGTGGTGGTATTCAGCAGGTTCTGACCAGTTCTGGAGAACTGGTAGTGGAAATTTTGAGTAGTCTGGAGAACCGGCAAATACCACCTCTGACTGGAGATTTTGCAGTATCCTTCTGCTGCCACGCCCGCCAAGCCAAGCCCACAGAACCAGTAGTAAAAAAAATTGAATCCCACCACTGAATCAAACCCAATTGAAAGCATTAAGAACAAATCCCAAGAGCTGTGTTATAGGTACTATATCCATTTCCGTAATAAGAAGTAGCATGACTAGACCTTTCCACAATATTGTCAATTGTCTACAACATGCTTTCTATCAGAATTAAGTTTTATATAATTTGTTTATATTTAAATTCAATAAAATTTCAAATACCTTGGGGTAAGAATTTCTTTATACTGAAGTTTTTCCAGTTTTGATGGTGCAATTAATGACATAGGAACAACAATATTGTCTATGTCATAGGAACATTCACTTCTCAGTCTCCGCCTTGAATTGAGCTGTTTAAAAATTGTTTCATTAAATGACATTAAAAAGCTATATGAAAAACAAATAATTTTCAGTGCATATATTAGTAAAAATACTGAGCTTTCAAACTCAAATAAATGCAATAATTTCTACATAATATTTTCTTTTGAAGCTGGCAATGTTTTTTGTTGGTTTTATAAAGTCATATTTATTTTGAATGTATAAAATTGTGGAGAAATAATATTGAATTGTTGAAATTGTAATTATTAGGACAGTAAATCTGATATTGAACTTGTATCTAAACTAGCCTATACAATTAAAAATGAAATTACACAAAATGATAAAAACTGAAAGCATTTTTAAAATGTGATTATAGTTGCTTAGATAAGAGGGGAAAAATTAAGACTTCTAATCACTGTAGTGCCCATAGCCTGGCAAACTTCCCTTAAGTGACCATCACACTGAACTGCCCCAAGGAGTGCAGTTCTTTCAGGGCAAAGTACAGGCTTCTAGTCACAGAATCTTTATTTTTCTTCATTTTACTATCTAACAGGTGACTAAGGTTTTTCTCAGTAGGCCAAAGCACTACAAAAAGAGAAGAATTTTTTAAAATTCCATTTCTTGGTAAAGATTGTTGAAAGACTTGGTGGGACAACTATGAAGATACTGGATTAGGAAAACAAAAACCCAGTTTCAGAAGATCACGCAGGGAAGACTTGGATATAGACTTGGATATAGACAAGAAATGAGAGAAAGAAAAATGGAGAAAAGCAGGCAGGCAGAGAATCACCATCCCCTTTTAACAACCCCATAATCCCTCGTGGGGTAGAGTCTGGGCAACTGAATTGAGCTGAGTGTTTACTGGCTGGATACCCTTTCCCATTGCCAATGTGGAGTTTTTTTATCAGCAGATATATTCCCAATGTGCCCATAGAGAGAAATATCTGCCTCTACCTGGGATTGAACTCACAGCCTCCTGATTGTGAAGCAAGGGCTCCACCTCTAGGCCACCACACCACTCAGGTAGGCAGAGAATGTTGGGTTGATTTTAAAGAAAAAAGAGGCAGAAACAATTTGTGCATTATTTCAAAGACCTGTACTAATGTTTTCAACCTTTTGTGACATTAGGAAGATTCCACAGAAAAATGTTCAGGGCACTTTTTAAAGGATTATAGACTGTTCAAGGCCAAGATTCAGCTTCTGAATCAGACCCAGATTCTGTATATTCTGTTACAAAGGCCTTAGGAACAAAAATAAATTTTAATTTGCCTTGCTATTAAATGATGTGGTATAATTTTAACAGTCACTTGAGCAGATACATTCAGAAATCCAACCTATATTTAATAATATTTACTTTTAAGAAATATGCTGAAGCATGAGAGATGATTTAAAATTCATTAAAAACAAATAGAAAACTTCATTCCTAACAACTAAAAATTGCTGTCAAGATTCATCATTACAGAAAAATGCCACCGCCCCATAGAAATTTAAGAGAGTTACTCAAGTATTTATTTATTTTTTTGAAAATATAGGCAATGTGACAATATTATCATACCTGTGATGAGATACTGTGAGATCTAGATAACATGTCAACATTGGATGCTGCTGTAAAATTACTATATCCTTCATGCTTAAAAGACAATGCTTCACAACTATCATTTTCTCCTGCCATGAAAAGATTAAAAATATCAATTAATGAACAAAATTCTAAGTAATAAATATACAACATAGATACTTCACAGGAAATGCAAAAGCATATCTAGAGTAGAAAGTAGGTTAGCAATGCAGCTATGACTTTTTTACCCCAAATAACAGAACAGAATAAAAGAGTTGGAAGGGACCTTGGAGGTCTTCTAGTCCAACTCCCTATACCATTCCAGACAAGGGGCTGTCGAGTCTCCTTAAAAGCCTCCAGTAATGGAGCAACAAAATTTCTTTTCTTTTTTTTTATAAAAGTTTTATTTGGGTTTTCACAAAACATAATACAAATAAAATATCTTTTTTTTTTGAGAGCAGCATGATTCCAGGTTATCATATCTCCATACAGACATAATCTCAGTTACATATTCATCTTTATATTCCATATCTTGTCACAATTTCTCAATAATTTTTCCCTTCCTTTACTTTCCTCAACCTTATTTATGATTATTTCATTCTTTTCTCATTCAAGTACATATCTTTTTCTAAATTTCTATATCTTTCTAGTCATATTTGTACTTTTGTCTGTCCTGTTTACAATTCCATACATTCTTTTTCCATCATCATCCCAAAAGGGAAAAGAAAAAAACAATTCCCTCCCCTTCCAGGCATTGAAAAACAAGGTTTCCCCTATGATTACCAAGTAGAGTGTGTCACCTTTATATCTTATATTTGTTATCCTTTCAAATCTCATTAAACATTTAATTTATGCATTATACAATCATAACATTCAATTTCTAATATCTATTTTATATCATATAACTCTTATCAACTGAATGGTACTTTCCCTTAAAAATACACACTAAATTCTAAAAAAAGAAAAATTATATAACAATAATGAATAAAATGGTTATTCTATTCCAATTCATCCTGACAACTGATATTGATTTCATTATAAATCTTTTACATTTCTTTTCAATTGTATTTTATAAATCATTAAGAACAATTAAAGTATTTTCATTCCTTCCTCTTATTCCCTCTTCTTTTACTTTTATTCCCTTTCCCTCTTTATTTCATTTAATTATTAACATTCCATTACATAACAATACCAGTTTTGTCTTTCACTTTAATCACCTATGTTTCATATTTGCTAGCTCGTTACTATTTCCAATATAACACTATCTCTTGTACCCTTGCAGAATCCTCTCTTTTAATTGATATTTTTAACCATTATCTTTATGTCTTTTAAATAGGCTATTACCTTTAATCCTTGTACGTTTCCTGTTTCTTTATTTCCTGTTTCTGTCCCTTATAGCTTCTTTTCCTTTTTATCTTTCCCCTCTTTTTCTCATCACCCTTTTTGTCCCCCTCTCTCTGATTCTCCCCTCTGTAATCCTCTCTTCTGCTTCTTCCTAATGTTATATTTACTTTTCAGACTATTCTTCTTTTTAGTTGTTTTCTCAGATCTTGAATTTTTAACTCCTTCCCCCCGCCCTTTTTCCATTTTACCCCACATTGAATTGTTTGGTCGTCAAAGATGGCTTCTTCTTGTTCTTCAAGCATTTCTTGTTGTTTTTCATAGTTCATAATCTCCATTTCTAAGAATTGAAGTGTGAAGCCAAAGGATCTTCCTCCCTGTTGCGACTCTTCTTTCATTCTTTTTAAGTTCCATTTTTAATTCCTCAAGGAATACTGCCATTTTAAGCACTTTTAAACAACCACCTGATTAATTTTAATTCAAACCACTAAAAATCCAACACCCAAAATTCCAAAAATCACCAAATAATCCAAAACTGTTTCTTCTTGCTTCTGTTTTCCACTTTCCCTTTTCGGGGGCTCTGTTATCTTGTAACAAAGTTTCAGTTACAATACATCCTTTGGAAGTCTTGTTAAGATTTCACAGTTAATTCTTTTTATTTCCAGGTGGTACACTCTGTTGTTTACAAGTTCCACCCTTTCTTTTTTCCTCCACTTTCCTCCTTTTGAAGGCGTTAGAATATCCAGAAAGTCTTTATTTTCCCCTTGACACTTTAATTTCAGCTTAAAATTGCCTGTTAGTGTCAAAGTAAATTAACACAAATGTCTTACTTAAATCTCTTCTTTTCAGCATTCAAAGACAATTGCAACTGTCCATGTGAGAAAGATTTTTTTCCCCCCTTTTCCCTCTCTTCTCCGCCGCTTTAAAAATCTTCTTTTAGGAATAACACTCTTAATAATTTTAGATCCAGGGTATCTTGCTTAGATGTTATCTCTGCTTAGCCTGGTCTGTCAAGCTCTCCCCTTTGTCTTTCCTCCTGCTCAATCTTGTCCGGTTGGGTTCCTCTTTGAGGTGGCCATTTCTTTTTTTTCTTTTTTTTGAGACAAATTTTATTAATTTTAAAGACAAACAAAACATCATTAAACATTGAACACATAAAACCTCTTTCCATTATAAATTTTTACAAGGCAGATAAAACATTATTTTATACAACATAATTCTAATCTATCCCATTTCCATATGGACACATAAGTATCTTTTAGCAAATTTCTCATTATTTCTCTTTACTCTTATTCAATTAAATTTCTTTTCTATATTTATCCATTTTATAGTCATCGTATTCATATTTCCCTCTGACTTGTTTACAATTATTCTCATCTGACATTCCTCCAAGGTTTTATTAATTCTCAAACATAAACACAGAAAACACAAAAACATAAAACTTCTTTTTAGAAAGTGGCTTGGCCCCAGATTACCTCTCTTTATACGGACTTCAATTAAATTCATGCTCATCTTATATACCATTACCTATCTTATTTACCATTCTATATCTTCTATATAACTTCTCCCCGCTTTTCACTCTTCTTAATTCTATTTTATTTATTTCATCTTAGTTTAAATCATTATACTTGTATCTTTTGTCCATTCTTTTCCAATTATCCATTTATCTCATTCTCTATAATAAAAAAAAAAGATTTCTCCTGAAATCACTAATCGAAGTATGATGCCTTTCTATCGTTCCCCTAAATTGACATTTAAAATAACACCTAGTTCCCAATCTGATTCTGCTTAGTACATTCTACCTACTAAATTTTAAGAAAACGAGAAAATAGTAAATCTATAAAATAATTAAGTACATAATTAAATATTAAATCTTGTAACATTCCAATTATCTATTTCAAAGACAAATGCTGCAATAAGTTTATAATAACATCAACACAATAGTCAATTAAACTCTATAACTGAACTAAATATTTTAAACATTCCCTTTAATATTTTGTTAAATCTTAAAATCTATCATTATTAAGCATTTTAATATTTTAATCTTTTTTTAGATCTTATGAAATTCTAATTTTCTATTTCTAATACAAATACTACAATACTATCTTATGTACCTTGCAGAATCTTTTTTTTTTTTTAAAAAATTATACATTACCCTTTATCCCTGAAAAAAAATTGCTTTTTCCCATCTTGTTTCATACCTTTGTGGCTTTTCCCCCTTTTCCCTTCCTTTCTTATCCCACCTGGCCTTTTTACCCCCCCCCCCTCTCCTAACCTCCGCCTTTTTAGCTTCCCCTCTCTGTTGTATTCCTCTTTTCTTTTGCTTTCCAACATTGTATTGATTTTGCATCTTATTTTTCTCTTTCTTGGGTGTTTTTTTAGGTCTTAAGTCCTTTATTTTCCTTCCTCTCTTTCTCCTTTCTTTCTTAATCAAACTTTTAGATTCATTAAAGATGGCTTCTTCTTCTTCTTCTTCTTCTTCTGCTTCCTCCATCAGTTGTTGTGTTTGCTGACAAATAGCAAGCGCCATTTCTAAAAAGTGAAAGGCTTCTTCCAAAGCGTCCTTGCCTTCTTTCTTTGTTTTTCCATATTCCTTTCTTAGTTCATCAACAGATGAACCATTATAAACCTTTTCTTCTTTTTTCTTTTTCCCTCTTCTTCTTCTTAAAACAACCAAGATATTTCAAAGCTTAAAACAGTTCCCCAAAGTCCCAGAGTCATCAAGCAGTCCAAACAGAGCACAAAGTTCTTCCCTTTGCACTTTCCCTTCCTGGGGTAATATCAATTGAAAAAAAAAACCAGTCTGTATTTTAAAGCCTTATTGCAATTAACTTCTAGTCTCAAAACCTTCCAGGCATCTCCTCCAACAAGATCTTAATATAATTTTTTTTTGTCCTCTCCCTTCCCACTTGTAACAAAGAGCTTTAAATTTTTACCTTCTATAAAAAGGCAGGTTTTTCAATGTCCATTTGTTAACTCCGTAGGGAAGGAGAGTAAACTTTCTCTTTCAGCACTTCCATTCGCCGCTTTAAAAATCTCCTCTGGAAACAAAGTATCATTCAAAAAGTCAAAGTTTTCAGGATGTTAGATGTATCTTAAGATCCCGGTTCAGCCAAAGAACTTTCACTTCAAAACTTTCTCCTTCTTCCTCCAGCGCAATCTTGTCCAGCTGCCGGCTTCTTTGTGGCGGCCATTACTGATCGCTGCTCCACCGCCTTGAGAAAAGGGGGTTTTGCCGGCTGGGGAGGGGGTCTGCGATACCCCCAAACCCCTATCCGGATCACCCCTATCTTCGGCTGCCTCTACGGGGCAGCCTTATCCTCCAGACCCGTCGGGATCGGAGGCACCAAGACGGCTATCGCAACAGGGATCGCGCAGGATCGCGAATCCCTGCCGCCGCCGAAGCCTGGAAAACCGGAAGCCGAGGTGGCCATTTCTGACCATCACTGCAACCGCCTTCAGGAAAGGGAGTAATGACCAGCCGAGGAGGAGAGATGTGGCTCCCCTTGACTCAGCTGGCAGTTTCCCCCCTCTTCACCACCTCTACGGGGTGACTTCAGCCCTGAATTCAAAGGATCAGGGCGCTCCAGCGGCGAGCATGGATCGAAATCACGCACGATCGTGGATTTCGGTCCGTTGCCAAAGAAGCCCAAACCGGAAGTCACAACACAACTTCTGAAGGAAAGCCGTTCCATTGGTTTATTGTTTTCACTGTTAGGAAACTTATTCAATCCTAGGGTGCTTCTCTCCTTGATTAATTTCCATCCATTGTTTCTTGTCTTGCCTTCTAGCGCTTTGGAAAATGGGTTAACCCACTCTTCTTTGTGGCAGCCCCTCAAATATTGGAACACTGTTATCATGTCACCCTTGCTCCTTCTTTTCACTGGACTAGACAAACCCAATTTCTGCAACTGTTCTTTATATGTTTTAGTACTCGGCCCCCTAATAATCTTTGTTGCTCTTTCCTGCATTCTTTCCAGAGTCTCTACATCTTTTTTCATTATATGGTGAACAAAACTGGATGCATTATATTTCACATGATCTTGATTCTATCCCTCTGTTAAAGCAACCTAGGATTGTGTTGGCTTTTTTTGGTGGCTGCTGTACATTGGTGGCTCATATTTAAGTGATTGTCCACTAGGACTCCAAGATTCCTCACAGTTCTGCTATTGAGCTAGGTTTCATGTAATCTGTAGCAGTACATTTGATTTTTCTTGCCTAAGTGTAAAACCTTACTTTTCTCTACACTGAATTTCATTTTGTGGATAGAGCCCACTAGATGCATAAATATGGAAATATCCACTTGTTACCACAAAATTGGTTGTCCATACTACCATCAGTTTTAGACCTTGAGTCGTATACTGTACTAAAAGGAAACATCTTTTTAATTAATTTATTCGAACTTTTAAGTAACCTTTACTTTTTATTTTTTAAAGCAACCTAGAACTAAGCAGAAATTTCCTGACAGTGAGAACAATAAACAAGTGGAACTTCTTCAGAAGTTGTGGGTGCTCTGTCACTGGAGGCTTTTAAAAAGATACTGGACAGCCACATATCTGAATGGTATAAGGTCTCCTGCCTGAGCAGAAGGTAGGACTAGAAGACCTTCCAACTCTGTTATTCTATTCCATTGATAATGATTTTATGTAGAACCTATACAAAAGGTTCCAATAGACAGTATCGCTAAATTATTCAATTGTTTTCTTTAATTTCTTTAATTAAATGCTATTTTAGTTCATTGTGCTCTTTATTTCTGATTTAGGAAATGAAACAGCATGGTCCAGAACTTAAAATAACAACTATGTTTTCATGTGTATTCACATGAAATTCTTTCATCTTTGGAAGGGTTCAGTAAAATTAGAAATATTAACCCTGCCACCCTACTATTAACTTTTACATGTAAAACAGTGAGTAAAAATAACAAGATCTTCTGCTCATTCCATTCTCATTCTTGAACCCCATGTACACTCCAATTTAGAGATACTTGTCAGGAAAAGTAAATTCACAGACCATATTGTTTCTTGAAAAATGACAAATAATCAACAATTTTATTTATAATACTAAAACCAATACCAGTAATTTATTAAATCTCTATATTGCCTTTCAACAACTTTTTAATGGGATCCTGTTAATGCATGTTTAGGAACATTACATAGCAGAAACCATCAGTATGACAGAAAAGTGAGTGAAGGGTGCTTTCCCAAAACTTAATAGGTCTGTAGAACTCTGATCATATTAACATTGTAATGGGTGCAATAGCTTTAGCTTGAAAATGGAAGGATTCAAATATTACTGTCATTGGGCATAGAGAAAACTTTGTTCGACCCATGGAAGCATGGGCAATATATTTACGATTCATTTTGATATTTCTCAAAGGGTTGCATCTTGGACAAAGATGTTATATACCCTAATCAGTGTTGTATAGCCTAATGAATTATATAATATAAATGAGTACTATGGCACATGTAAATGGATCTCTTTGTTCACTTATAATTGGACATAAGTTTTAGCTTTGCACAAAGGTTGAAATAAACAAACAAAAGTTTCCCCTTGAGTTCAAATAGAGAATTATTATTTCGCCCTATTGATTTGCAGTCATGGCTTGTTGTTAAAGTTCTTATTAATTTATTTTACTAGTGAAGATACATTTCCCCTACCAGAATAAGTCCAGTCCAAATTCCTCTGGGCAGAGTTTTAAGTCTCCAATGTGCCTTATGCTTTGAATCAGATATGAAAGTAGAGATCAGACTCTGGCTCTAAACGTGTCTTGCCCTCTTGAGGATGTCATGGAACTGTCACTAAAAGAGTTCCCTTGTAAGCAAATTATAGACAATTTTCCTCCACAAAAATATTGTACTAAAAAGCAGCTATGTTCAAGAGATGTTGCTCATTAACAATGAGATGTTTCTCATTGTAAATGTAGAATGCTAAATTGATTTAGTTCTTAAAAATATCTGTGGACCACTGCATAGGCTATCTTATAAAATGTGCCTCATAACTCACAGAATTAGATCATTTAGGATATAGAATAACATATCCTGGAAAGGTGCGGTACTCTTTTTTCAGCAGTGCTGGCAGGTTCATATTTAAAAAACCCTATCCAGTTTAATTGTATCATGAGTACTATGTACTTACCACACGTTTCGCTTAAATGTCTTTTCTTCCTTCCCTCTGAGAACAGTTCAGATACTTTTGCCATACTTTGATGTTTAGAACTGGCTTCATATCCATGGCTCAACTGTTGAAGAGGAGCTTTAATTTGATTAAAAACTGGGATTAAAAAAAACATATCTTTAATATGGTTCTTTTTCTATTTAAATCACACAGAAAATGTTTAACTTTTAGCAGTATGCTTTTAAGACATTGAATTATTTTAAGCCAAAAATACATCAAAAGTGGTCAATGATTTCAGTCATAATTTATATATGGGCACAATTTATATATATTTTCTTTGCTGTAAAATTTATTAAATACAGAAGGTCATGTAGAGATTTATTTTAAATCAAACTGACTTAAGTAACTTAATATATAAATTGATAATACTATTTTAGTATTATCAATTTATATATTTGAAAGATGATTTGTTCACTAATCAGGAAAATTCTTTAATAGCAACTTCTAGTAAAAAAAAATCTGGTTTGATATATTCATTAGTGTAGAGGAAGTACAAATGAGAGATGAATAAATCTCATTTTCCGAAGGTGCATACGATATAAAAGATTTGGTCAGACCTTTTTCTGATGCATTTTCATCACAAAAATGAAATAATGATCTCAGTTCAAAGCAAGCAGATTTTGCAATTGTATTAAATACTAGCTGGATACCTGTGCTTCGCGATGAAACTTTGTGATTGGGCTATGCAGGATAAATTCGGTTCACAATCCTTGGCTCAGTGGTGGTCGGTGATTGAAACACATAAGGGTTTCTTTTCTTTTCTTTCCCTTCCCTTCCCCTTTCCATTCCTTCATTCCTTTCCCCTTTCCTTTCCTTTCCTTTCCTTTCCTTTCCTTTCCTTTCCTTTCCTTTCTCCTTTCCTTTCTCCTTTCCATCCATCCATCCATATCTATCTATTCAGCAAAAGTGTTGTAAAATACAATCCTCCAACTGTTGTCCCAAAGGTGCTTTTTTTCTGGACTTTCTGGTTTTTCTTTGAAAATGTTTTGCTTCTCATCCAAGGAGCTTCTTCAGCTCCGACTGGATGGTGGGTAATAAAAATACTACAACCTTTGATGCCAAAGTAACTTCCTGCTTGGAAGTGTGGTTTGCATCCTTTTAGAGAGCCGTTGAGACAACTTGGAGGTTTGTCTGTGTCCTCGGGTCACCTGAGTGGTGCAAATGGCTGTGAAGCTACTAAGGTAACAGAATGTGAGGCAACTGGCAGTTGGAATGGAGTTCTGTTTAGGTGGGGAGGGGGAGTAGAACTCCTTAGCATCAGAGCGTGCTAATTACTGTATTAAGAAATACTAATGATCTGATGGTCATTTTGAAAAATCCTTTCTTAATGAGCACCTAGAAGCCAAGAGGAACATACGTGCCAAATTTCAAGTTTGTAGGTTTTACGGTTCTGGAGATTTCATGATGCTGCGTGGATGGTATTTCGCTTTTATATATATAGACTAGCTCTTATCAATCAAAAATATAAAAACAAAGGAAAACCAATGAACTATTGAATTAAAAATAGTTATTTTATACTTTTTTTTATACTGCATACCATTAAATGGAGACATTTTGAATGCTAAACCAAGAGCAGCGCCTTCAAAAGTGTCACCTTTGATTTCATATTTCTTGAGTAAAGTTTTAAAATGAACATGTAGAGGAACATCTGCAAAAAAAATTTAAATAATAATTTCATTTATTTATTTAAAACATTACATAGCTGTCCATCTTATATATAACCCTGGGTGGCTCAAATTAGTAATTAAATAATATCAACAATAAAACAACATGATACATAAATATATTAAAACTGTAAATATTAAAAACCTGGCATCAAATTTTCGCTTACAAACCTTGTTATTAATTGTATCTCTGTTTATCTAAAACAAGTACCATATTGTTCATCTTTAAATGTCTAAAGAGTCTAACAGAGTTCAACACATAGCAAAAACAAGAGATACTGTCATATTGTGTACATTTCAGCAGGTTTTAAAATTTATAGATTAAAATTTGCAGGAGATATGATGAAAATCTACACCACATAAATAAAGGCCTTAACCATCCTAGCACTTCCTCAAGAGACTGTTTCTCCAAAGGCAGAATTGAGCTAGTACTGATCTAATGTCTTTGTATTTGCTTTTATCAATGCTTCATCTGTCTAAGTAGATCAGCAAACAATCAACTAACATTGTTGAAATTGATCACATATTGTTCAGTAAGTATGATTTTTACTTGATACATCAGAATTACATTTTTATCTCACACAATGGAATCCATAAAGTATAATTGCTAGTCCTCACTTATTTATAAAATTATGGCCAGTCCTTATGCACTGGGTTCAGATCAATTATCAACAGGTTCAAATAATAGTAATAAATTACTAAAACCTATGCAAAGAAATTATGGAAACTGTTCAGTTTTGAGATGACTGAGGATATGACAGCATTTTTTCTGATGTTGCATCCAGATTTTGACACATATTCTCTATCAGCCCAGTGACTGAGACTACAGAATAAGACATAAAAACTGAAATTTGCTTTGAACATTAGGAAAAATAACTAACAATATAAACAATTCTATAATGGAACCAATTAATTAAAAATGATATGAGTCCTTTTATTGGATGTGTTCAAATATAGACCATACAAACTATGAACACATCAAAATAATTACTTTGCAACTGCTTTCCTAGTCCATGATTCTTACACACCAGATAATATTTGTTGATTGAACCATGATTTTCCAGTACACGGACAAAACTAATTAGAGATTTGATTATCATAACAATCAGCTTTAAGAAAATGTTCATAATGATTTTCACACTATATTAAGATTTTTAGAATAACTACTCATGCCATAGCGGGTAACAAACTTACCTGAAGGAAATGATAAAACAGGATGGAATGAGGTGTCTAGTTCCAACATGAGTTGTTTGTGTATACTAGAATTGGTGCTAAACTCGTAACTACTTCTTTTGCTGCTTGCAATCTCTTCTGTATTATACAAGGTACTGCCCTGATGCAAAGCCTATAAAATGGATATAGATTTGAACAAATGCAATATTGATTTGACCAATCCTAAACAAACTAAGCTAAAACTGAAATCAAATCCAAAAAAACTTCTTCAATGACATAGTTCTACTAGATTTTGATGAGCTATATTTCCCTTAAAAAATGAACGGTTCATTGTTTGGGGTAATTTGTGCTCAACTTTTTTCTTAAATAATGACATTACAATGAAACTAAACTATTCTAATTGTATTTGTTTTCTAACAACAATGGATTTGGCCACAATTACCAAGCAATACATCTAACCTGAATGAATATAAAACAAATTATTAAATTAACTTTTTGTTACTATACATGCATACAAGTTTTAATAAAAAGTCATATATGCATAGAAAATGTTTTAATAATGTTATTGAACCTTTAATTTACCATCTTATATGTTGTGATCCTGCTGAACCAAAAAAACTTTTTTTTTTGCTTAATTAATATGCTCTTTGTCTGTCTTTTCTCCAGAAATTCCTAACTGGTGATCACAGAATTATAGAATTCTTTGTTGGCCAAGTGTGATTGAACTCACAAGAAATTTGTCTCCAGTGCATAAGCTCATAATATACATATAAAAAACAAGTAATACGTCATAGATCATAATGAACAATTGATAAATCACAAGAAACCAATTAGAGAAGATAGGAAAGATGAGAGGATGAGAAGAGACAGTGATGTGGGAATTAAGTGTTCAGCAGATTGATGGAAAGGGGACGACGACTATCTTTGTATCTAGTAGTTTTGGCATGCAATGCCCTGTAGCAGCATCCTGAGGGGAGAAGTTGAAATAGATTATGTCCAGGATGTGAGAGGTCTGTAGAAATTGAAGTCTGTATCTGTCCTGTTCGGTTGCAGTGCCAAACCAGACAGTTACTGAGGTACAAATGATGACATTCCTCTGTAGAACTGTATCAGCAGTTCCTTGGGCAATCTAAGCTTTTTGAGTTGACTTAGGAAGAACGTGTATTCTTCCTAAGAGATATTTTTTTTAATCAGAGAAAACATTCTAGATCGAACATGTAGCACTACTATTATATCATAATCTGTTTTCAAACACAATACAAAGGACTTATTCTCTCTTCTTAAATATTACAATGCCTTCAACAACAATTAATACATTGTTTGGTCATTTGACTATATTAAGAAACTCTAAAAATAGTACTAAGATAAAGTAGAACACCTTCATAATGTATTGTTGTCTCTGCAATCAACCCAAATCTATTCTATATGATCCATCCTCTTCTGGATGTCTTTGATATAAAAGACACAGTCCTCGAGTAATATGTAAGATCATTCTCTGCAAAAGGTACAATCTATTTTGACTATTCCAGTATGGCTTAGATTATTAAAAACACTTAGGCAATTAATTCTTGCTACAGAGTAACAACAGCACCTTGAATAACTAGACCACCACAAATATACAATCTTATTTAAAAATATAAGATCTTTCTGCAAAAAGCACTGTAGGAAATCTCTCATACTTTACCATAGAATTGTGTGGTTCAATCTAGCTCTAGAGAAAAGTCTTCTAAGGTGCTGAGGCATGTAAATTATTAAAAGCTTTCTACCTGGAAATCTGATTTATGTTGTGCCAGCCGCTTCAAAGACTTGGTACACTTAAGATATGCTATGTCATCATGGATAGTGAAATCCAGGAGCTTTTGAAAATTTAGCTAGCTCTCAGGTCTGCTTGACCTGGGAAGTGAACAGAAAATCCCTATGAAACAGTATGACTAGCAGTATGACAAGAAGTGCAGAACTGCTGAAAATCTGCTCTTCAAAAGACAGCTTTTATAGTCTGAGTCCATGGATGGATTCTGCAACCAGCAATTAAATAATTGTTAGATGACTTTGTATTGGGGGTATTCCCAGCTCAGCCTTTAATGCAAAGATGGATAGCCTAAAAGCTAGATATTTTAGGAACCTTATCTTTCTACATGAATCTGCTAATCATCAGAACACACTGAAATAATCCTTTCTCGTGTCATCATCAGATCTCAAATAGAATAAATAGGAAAAAGCCTTGTTCCATCTGATTTCTTTTATTCTGACAAGGCTAAAAATTAACTAATACCTGATGTGCCTTTCCCTCTATTTCTTCCTTGCAATAACATGCTGTATACCTTAAAAAGGAATCTACTCATTAAAGTTCATGTGACTTTTTAAGAAGGGGGATCCCTTTTTTCTCCTTCACAGGGAAATCTGAATTTTAATAAAGAGTAAAGAGTAGCTGTGCTTGTGAGGTGAGTGTCTGAATCATTTTGTTGTGTTACAGACTTAACTAACATTAAGTGGTTTTTCTATTGCAACACACCCAGAAGGGTGGTAATGTTAACTTATATTTTGAAAAAATCTTGGCTATCAATTCATAAATTTAAAACATAGTGGTGGGTGATTTTTGTTATAAAACGATTCCATCGTAACACACAAACACAAACACTCTTACAGAAAATATTTGAATGCCGCTAAAGGAGTTTTGTTACACTGAATAGTTTCTTTTCATACAAAGCATAAATTGAATATTGAGTAAAAATTGAACCTGCATGTTATCAATACAAAAATGTTGTGGATTCTAAAGTTCAGGATATATGTTTATTTTGAAAGAAGTCACATTGTCCTTAAAAAAACAGGTTTAAAACATGTGAGTCTGGATGTGGCTTAACAGTCATATTTCATCTGGGACCTTCAGCTTTAAATAATGAACCAATTCTGTCCATATTTAGAGAACAGCAATCTGGAATTGGTGGCACATATAATGATAACCTCAAGATTGGATTACTACAATTACCAGTACTTCTTTCTAAGTCAAATGCTGTGGTCTTTATAAAAGGTTTTTAGATGATGAGCCAAAAGGGCACTTTTAGAACTTTTCCTTACATATGAATCTTTTCTGAGACTGCATCATGGCTCCCTCATCACTGTAGCAGCTCCCTTACAATGATAATAACACATAAATTTGCTGTTAAAGTTAATGAAGCCCATGTTCTTATATCTTTTTATATGGGGTTGAAGTATGGTGTTTTAAACATGTATTACCTTTACAACAAACACATTTGTGTCACTTGAGTACATTGGATATAGCTAAAAGGACTCTAAAAGCTATCACTGTTAGAGCTGAGTTGGGAATACACTGCATATGTTTTGTTACTGATTTAAAAATTAGAGGGTATAAAACTTGGTGGAAAATTACTTTTAGGGAGATTGATATTCTCAAAATTATACTTGATAGAATAAAGTTCAATTAGCATTTATAACTAACTAACAAGTTGTATCAGAAGTTGTGGGCTTCCTAAGTCTTGTTTAGCTATGTCTGGACAAATTAAGAAACTGATGCACAAAGATGCTCAGTAAAGTTGATATGCCAAGATGGATAAGCTACCACAAACATAATTTTGAAATTGAAAAATATATAATTACAAAAATGCCCTAGTATCTAAGAAGGATATTTAGCCATTAGAGATTTGAACAACTAAAAACATTGGTACAATATGGAACGTTAAGTTAAATCTCTATCAAGATTCTCAATCATTCAGGTCAGGGTTGTCCCAAAGGTGCTTTTCAAAAGGCAACTGGACTTTCTAGGTTTTTTTCCCCTTGAAAATGTTTCGCTTCTCATCCAAGAAGCTTTTTCAGTTCTGACTGAAGGTTAGGGGAATTGATGGGGAGTAGAAGGAACATTCTATTCCCCCACCATTCAGTCAGAACTGAAAAGCCTGCAGTTGCCTTTTTTAAAACACCTCTGGGTTTGGATGAATCCCCTATCATAAATGTATATGTGTTTGAGGTATAGGAGAAACTGAGGATATAATATATATTGTATATTATTTGAATATCAGTTGTTTCCATGAGACCCATATCTCAGAACATATTTTAAGTGCAGAAACAATACAAATATTACAAATAAAATGGCCCCCTTTTTGAATAAAACAGTGCAATTGAGAGCCACATATGTCAATATAAATGAGATAAACTATAAAATGATAACCTATCTATTTTGGTCGTAAGGTGGGAGAACTTTAATTGAAACTCGTTAAGTTACAAAGCCCTCATCCTGGATCACCCCAATGCACACATTAAATGAATGTAGGGGTGAATGCAGGGGTCATTAAATGTGTACGGGTGTCTCAGGGACACCTGCCTTGCCCCCCCCCCCCCAGAGATAAGGGTGATGCAGAAGGCGCTGCTTTGCCTTGTTTGAAACCTGACCTGGAAGGCAAAGCTCTCTTCGGCCTCCCTCTGCTTGCCCTTTTAACACTTGAATCCTTCATTGTCTGTTTTCCATGTCACTGCACAAGCTCCTGTTTTTCCCCCTTCCTTTAAAAACTTTTTACCAGGAAATATAGAAACTGCAAAGCACAAACCATGGCTCATTATACTGTTTTGAGTTAAAGAGGCCATATAGAAAGGCAGAATGCGGGGGAAATGCTGCTTTGCTGAGATCAATTTCCAAATGGCTGCTCCACATGGCCCAGTAAGAATGGCACACAATACTGAGTTCTGCAGATTTCTGCAAGGTAAGCAAGGATTGTGAGGGGTGGAACGGGGGAGGGGAAGGGGGGGAGCAAGCCCAGTGCCTTTGGGGACCTGGCAGATCAAGGATGTGGGGGGAAAGTGATAGATCAATGTGCTTCAGCGTCTCTGCAACATTATGAAGTTGCCCGATCATTTGTAAATACGAATGACTGGATAACTTTTGTAAAATTCTTATCTTCTAATCATGGTTGTACATTGCTTTTGAGAGCTCTGTTGTAACTTTGAACAGTCATTAAATTATATGTCGTACCTTGAGGATTACCAGTATTGTGATATTGCCTTATGGCTAATCAGTAAAATATTGTTATGGATAGATTTTTGTGTTTCATGCAAAAAAATCATCCTAAGAATCAAATTGTTTTTTAAAAAGTTACACAGAATCTGAGAAGCGATAAAATGCTTCTAAGCTGATAAATAAGATTGCTTGAAGAACTTATGAAGAAGTAAACCATTTTTTTCCTGACTTTTGATTTAAAAAAATGAAACGAAAAGTTAGGAATGTTGACTGCAAAACAGAAGATGGTTTCTGAGACTACCTTTATTTATAACAACTTAAATATTCTTTGGACAGAATTGCATGTAATCTTCTGCAATATATGCCTAATTTTGGCTTTGCATGTTTGATTCTTACTTTAAGGAAGTACAGAATAATATGAATAACATTTGTTCTTTCACTGAATCTAATTAAGATATGACATTTGTAAGACACATGAAAGTCTTATGTACAGCCAGCCTCACATTTATCCTACATATTCAAGGCTCTCACAAAAACAGACATAATATGCAAAAATAATATATATATATAAATCTTAACACTATATTAAAGAAAATGGGAAAACATCTGCACCTGGTTATTCAAAGTAAAAGCTGTGTTCATTCTATATGGCTTTCTCCTCTGGAAACTCAGAAGTGGTCTAGTGCGAGCAGATGTGCTCATTAGAGCAACAGTAGGTGTTTTCAGTTTCATCTTTTCTTTCCTCCTTCTCTTCGGATGTTGTTGATCAGCCAGGGAACTACTAGAAGACGAAATTTCTTCCTTGTTCTCTGATTCTCTGAAATATACCTAACTATTATCCCAGGTTGTGAAGAATATTTTAAAAAACCCACACTTCATAATAATAACTTACAGTTAATATTAATTTAAATATATTAATGTAAAAATATATAGTTGTATCAGAATTAAGTAACTGATTTTATGAACTATAGCAATTGTGTTACCATACATTTTAAAGTAATATAAAGAAGGGAGTGGTCTTTTCTTTTGTCCTGAAAACAGGACAAGAAAAAATGCATTGAAAACAACAGGAAAGTAGATTCAAGTTGGGAATTAGTGGTAATTTCCTGATAGTAATCAGCTAATAGTTTGCCTCATTAAGTGCTAAGTTCCTCTTCACAGAAAGTCTTCAAACAAGTGTTGAACAACCATAGATTCAAAATATTTTAGCAGATGCATTGAGCAATTGTTGGACTACAAGAAATAATTTCCAACTGTAAGGATCCATGACAGTTGTTCTTTGGTTCATACATTCTTTTTTTTTTTACTTAATTAATATATGCATAAATAATATATGTTGTTCAGATATATTGCGTTACATTCCAGTGTGAATAGTAAAACATGAGATTTTGAATCTTTGGATACAAAATAATTAATTTCAGTGCCTCTAGTTTCCTTCTCCCACGAACAAATTCATCCATTTTCTACACTGGGTATGTCCACAATGTACTTGAATTTGGTGCTAATTCCCCTTGCTGAGTCACATGGCTCAAAGTGACTTCCCACTCCCCACAGTTCTTGGCATCAAAATGGTCCCTCTTCTTAAGTTGTGAAAAAGCCACCGGAAAAAAAGAAGCAGATGACTCAAAAGAAGAGGTCAAGTAGTCAAATGGTCAAGAAGAAAATAAAAAAGTAAGAGGATTTGGATTTTTCCCCCTCTGTATAGGGATCATACTTGAACCTTGGCAGCCACTGAAATTCTTTGGTATCTAATTAGTTTAGTAAATATTACTTATTTGAAGTTTTGGGAATTCTTCTAAGTTTTCCTGAATAGTTACTTCTGCTCAGGGCATGGGTGTCACATTGTAGTCATGTGACATATTGTGACCTTCTCCCCTTCGCAGAGATGGGGTGGGCGTGGCCTGCGTGTGACACATCTGGCCCACGGGCCGCCAGTTTCCCTCCTGGCTTAGGAAATAAAGCCTGACATGTGTAAAGTAATGACAAAAAAGGCCCTAACCACAGATTGTTTAAAAATCTTGAGGCCTGTTCTTTAATGATCAATCAGTTAACAGGACCACATATAATGAGGGCCACCTGTAATCTATACTAAGGGTAGGCAATGCAGTGCTTGTGGGCACCAATATGCCCATATAAGTCTTTTGCAGGTGACAGATTCCTGTACCACCTGCTTTTTTATTTACTGAAACTAAATGTATAAGTTGTCATGATGTAAATTTAAAGCGCAAAACTCTAGCATCATCATTATTTACAGTAATCCCCAGACTTTGGTTTGTTATACTGCTCATTCTTGAAATGTGTCCATTACACAGAAAAGAATGTTAATCAAAAACTACTCAATGACTGCATATCTCCATGCCCTGAATTATTGGATAACTAATTGGAGTATTTTTTTAAAAAATATTTCTCACCTTTATTATTTTTATAAATAATTCATGGCAGCAAACATACCTAATACTCCTTCCTCCTCCTATTTCCCTTGTAACAACACTCTTGTGAATTGGCTTGGGCAGAGACAGAATAACTGGCCTATGGTCACCCATTCAGCTTTCATTTATTAACATATTTCTATTATTTGAGTTCCTTGGAAACAGCAAATTGTAAAAGTGAATCTTTTAGCATCTTTTTGGGGAGGAGGGGAGTTATCTGATGATGTTTAGTCAAGGTAATGCTGTCATTTTATATATATGCCCATATATGCTAAACTTACCCCAAGGTTAACCTTTAGTTTTCGAAGTGCTACCTACCTTAAGGAGATGCCATTAACCAATTCATTCTGTTTACAGGTTTTTGAAGAAAGTGAAGATGATGTTGGAGACAGATTAAGGGGAGCAATTAGACTGCTTATTATTTCACTCAGCTGAGCACTCTGAATGGTACAGGAAGAAAAAAATACATTCAATTTAATATACTATAAGTACTTAAAACCAGTTGTGTCCATATTACACCTAAACTCCATGCTTTATAACTGAACCTTACCAATATCAAGAGTTAATTTGAATTTTTAAAATGCCTTGCAAAATAAGACCATATCAAATTCAAATCCTAAAGAGATTTATGAAAATTTAGAAGACATTGATATATGCAAAAAACAAAACAAATTACAACTGTGATGTCCATGTTCCTTACCCAGAAATAATCACTGATATCTTGAAGTGGCAATCCATTATGGCTGCTAGCATATGATTGATTATTAAGGTTGTTTTCTGATACAAGCATATTTGAACAGTTGCTAATCTTAAATTGAATACTACATGTAAAGCTCAAGGAAAGCCAAGGTCAAGGATTGTAATTCTCTTTCGCCATAAATCTGAAATATTTCTTTTTGTGCTAATAAGCATTTTACCAATAAAAGACCTTGAAAATGGTATAAGCAGAAATTATATTTCATTCTTGCAGAAAATTAATGAAGACATAAAGAGACAAGTACAATTCAAATCTAGAATCTTCCTTAAAACTCCCCTCCTACTGATACATTGCCTGTTAACTATACAGGTAGTCCTCGACTTACGACATTAATGGACTCTGCCCATTCATGCTCGAAGTCGAGGACTGTTAAATGAAGCACCTAACTAATGACCTCCATCCTTGCTTTCCCCAATGAATTTGTTAAACAAATGCACAGGTTGTTAGGTACAGCATGGAGTGACTCAGAGACAGGGGAAACTAAGGGAGACCTAGTGCAGGCACTCCCAGGAGGCCTCCCCCTCCCTCCAAGATATCCTATGGCCTGCCCCTGTCTCCTGGATTCTCCAAAGCCTTATGGGCCTCCTCCATACCCCACCTCATTACCATTCACTTTCTTACATTTTGATGAGTTCAGGAAGTCAGGATAGAGAAGGCCGCTCCCTCGCTGGACCACGTGGCACAATCAAGAAGAAATCCAGTCACTTTTGTTTCCGTTGCAATCTTTTCCTCTCCAGCCAGCATAAACTACTATTTCTTCTTAGCTCTACCAGTGCTAGTTTTATGCCAAATTGCAGTGGTTTACTCTGGCTTGGGAGGAAAGGATTGCCATGGAAACAAAAGAGATCAAATTTCTTATTTTGTTCTATCAGCGCAAGACTGGTGTAAAACTAGTGCTGTTAGAGCAAAGAAGAAATCTGATCTCTTTTGTTTCCATGTAAATCCTTTCCGCCCCAGCCAGGGTAAACCATCATTTCTTCTTAGCGCCACTAGTGTAAAACTAGCATGGCTGAGCTAAGAAGAAATCGTAATAGTTTATGCTGACTAGAGAAGAAAGGATTGCAACAGAAGCAAGAGAGACTGGATTTCTTCTTCTTGCTTATGCCAAATGGCCCAGCAAGCAGCCTTCTCTATACTGACTTCTTGAGTTCGTCCAAAAGTAAGCAAGTGAATGGTGACAAGGGAGTGAGAATGGGGAAGATGGTAAAGCAGGCCAACATACTGGGTTCTGGGGGCCTCTGAGGACCTGGCCGGGCAAGGTGGGAGGGAAATAGGTGGCTGGGTATGCTGCAGGGGGAGGAGAGGGACTGCAAAATTTGTAAGTTTGTAACTTTGAAATAGATTTGTATTTAGTATTTGGGGTGTGTGTTGTAACTTCAAACATTCATTGAATGGACTGTCGTACCTCAAGGATTATCTGTATTGTCACCACTTTTTCATCTGGGAGAAATACTTACAAAAGTATAAGTGTTTTTATGGATTATGAGTTAAAACATAAATGATTGAAAAATCATTTGAAATATGAAAAAATACCTGTTTTTCAATATTACGAAGAAGCAAAGTTGGACTGCTGGGTGACATTTCAAAATCATGTTCTGGCCAAACATCCTGCCTCTGTAGGAAAGTTTGTGAATTCCCTATAGAATTCAATGCCTCTTGATCTGGTAATTGTGTACGTTTCTTCAAGATTTCTTTTGGGACTGAACATTCTTCTAAAATCACCATTCCCTAGACAATAGTAAATGAACACAATCAGACTGATAATCAGAGTCACCTTGTAGGGTAGATAGGCTACATAAAAATGAATTAAAATAAATAAAAATCTGAAATGTAACACTTAAACTCCCCAAAATATTAATTGAAAGCTCCACAGAAAAACTAGGACATTGCTGGGGCAGAAGAGTGATATCAAATAGCTTCTTATTTAATTGTATTAACTAAAATAGCAGGAAATAGTTATAATCTATTCCATATAATCAGTTGCATTAAATATATATCTTAGTTCTGTTCAAACTTCAAAACCAATCAGTTTTGAACACGGACCTTAAGGGACGACCAAACAACCTGTTCCTTACATAGAAGTCTTATTATATTCTAAATTGTTTTGCATAGGATTGCCTATATTTAAACTATAATTCTGACAAATATGCTGTGTTGAAACTGAAACAGGCTGTTTGCTGTTTGCTGCAAGGAGGCAAATTACTGGGAGGCAGAAGCAGATTTTTTTTTCTTGTTTTCCTCCCCCAAAACTAGGTACGTCTTATACTTTGGAGCATCTTATATTCCAGAAAAATACGGTAAGTATCAGGAATTAAATGACTTTAATTTTTTTAAATTCTTCCTCATGCTTTTACAGTAAGTTAAAAACTGAAAATCTAGATTTACTGTAAGTAGTTAGGAACCAAAACATAATGTAAGATGTTGTAGTCAAGCTGCTAAATATATAAAACTGTTTCTGTTTCTCTGTGTTTCTCCATGATTTCTTATCAAGTACTCCAGAAAACAATATTATAACCAATGCAATTATAGCAACTAAACATAAAATTAAAAATGTATAACTTTTCAAGGATCGCATTACTATACAAGTTGGTCCTTATTCAGGCTATAAGCTTTTCCATTAAACTTTGAACAGAAGGGATATAATTTCACCATCATCAAATCCAATATCTACATTTCAGATTATTCTTTCATTTGTCACAGGGTGCATAAAAATCAATGATTTTTTAATTTTTTTTAAAAAATCAGATTTTTAAAATTTAAATCGGATTTTATTTTTATCAAATTTATTTTAATAAACTGCTTTTGGAATAAAAATCTATCTAAAGATAGTTTTCTATTTAAGATACATTAATCATTTAGTTTATTCAGCATGAAATGGAGCTTAGTTATGTAGCATGAGGCTGTATATTCTGCAATATTGGGACTGTCGGTGAATCAACATCAGGTCAGAGGAGGAGCCATTGCGGGACAGAGTTGCTCTTTAAAAATTATGATTTAAATCGAATTGATTTAAATCAAGTCTTTTTACTAGTGATTTAAATCGTGATTTACATCAAATTCACCGATTTGTCATTTTAGATTTCTCAAAACATTTCTGTATATAGTTCATGGAAAATACCTATCAACATTTTAACATGTTTTTTTGAATAAATACTTTTAATTAATTAATAATACCTTGGTGGCACGAATCTGTCTGTGAAGGTCAGTAAGTTGTTGAATTTTGTATTCCAGCTCAGAAATCTGATCCTGAAGCCATGTCCACTGACAGCCAACTTTAGCTCTTTCTACCAACCATTTCCAGTCAGATCTACAGTTACTGAGAAGATAGAACATTGATTAGACAACAGAAATGATTTTTGTTCATTTTATAAAAATAACTTATGTATTCTGAATCTTTATTTGAAAACCACAAGTCTTTTAATAAATTAACTGTGCCTGGTTATTACACATCTATTTTTAATATAAATAGTTGGTTTATACTACCGTAGTCTAGACTTGAGACTACATATATATTCTGCATTATTATTTTGATGTATATCCCATTTTTCAAACACTAGTACATTCATGAGTGCTGATCTCTGGGTAAAATTTTAGATGATAGGCAGTTGATTAGTATGCAAGTATTTCTTATGAACAAAGATAGTAAGGAGTTTGGAGGTTAAACTGTACACTGTACAGAACTAGGTATGTCTAGTCTAAAAGTACTGGGGAAGATATGATAGCAGTCTTCTAGTACTTAAGGGGACCTCACAAAGAGTGGGTTGACCTATTTCCTAACGGCAGGACAAGAACTAATGGAAGATCATTCAAGAGAAATTCAACCTAGAAATAAGGAGAAATTGGCTGACAATGAGCATGATTAATTAATGGAGAGGCTTGCCTCTAGAAATTGTGGATGCTCCATTACTGGAAATTTTCACCAAGAGATTGGACAAGCACTTGTTCAGAACGGTGTAAGGTCTCCTGCTTAACATTCTATGTTGGTATTCTACAGTATATTCTGATTAAAGGTGAATTAGCATTTGTGATATAATTCTAGATCAGTTAAATATGAGCACTTGATAAGCTTAATTCTGATTTCTATTACACAATTCTTCAGGCTATTATTTATTATATTTGGTTTTTTGCATTAGGTAAGTTCTTTTCATTCTGTTCTGACCCAAGCCTTGTTCAAATCAAACAAACACAAAGTATGTATAAAAACAAACCTTTTTAATGCGGTGCTGTGAATTCTGTTCATTCACAGCCAAGAGTCATTCAAAACTAATTGTCCCAGATAAGAGCCAGCCCTTTCAAGGTTGCGAAAGGCTGCCAAGGACAAAAGACTAATTGCAGATAAATATCCCAAGCCAGAAGTTTCCAAAAACAAACCGGAGGACAAGAACTCAGAGCATAAAAAACCTGAAAGCTGGCTTTTATCCCTTATAGAAGGGGCCATCACCTTCCACTCTTACTCCCGAGTTGCCATGCTGCTTCAGCTGCTCTTTCCTTCGAGCAGCCCTGCACGCACAGGCTCCCCAAATCCCTCTTCATCATTGGTGCAGACTCCACAACCTCCGATAGTCCTGGCCCCATCCCTGCATCACATGTAGGCACCTCCTCCAAATCCTCGCTGTCAGAGACCTCAGCCATTCGCAACCGCTGCCGGTGAACCACAACACATTCATTTAATATTTTATTATTGTTCAAGCAGTAAATTTCTATTTTTCCTAATCAGAGCACATTCAGGCAATACACACAATGAGAACTGTTTAATCTCACAATACATTGACAGACTCGGCATAGTTTTAGTTTGGAAGCTGTGAGCATTCTACACCAAGCTAAATCCAAAAAAACAGGAATCCCTGGAAGCTTGACATTCAGACAAATCAGCCATTGGCGGACACCTAGAGATAAATTAATTTATACACCATTCAAAAGAGCTAATAAAAAAGAAGTATAAAGAGTACAATACATCCTTTCCTGCAGTCAACATCTAGATAAACAGGGATTATCAGCAGAAAAACAATCAATTGGGCAGAAAACAATACCTAATCAAAGAAATACCAAGCAGAAATCTTCAACCTCACCAACACGGACAGAAAAATTATTGTATTCAAACAGGATTCCACAGTATAAGCCCCCCCTCCCTCTCTGTGTGTCTGTGTGTGTTTGTCTTGTCTGTCTGTCTACTTACTGTTGGAATTACTGTTTAAAATAAATCTGTTTATTAATAGAAAAGTATTCTACAATTAATATAATACTTGCAATTTAGAAAGCATTTTGGAATTTATTACAAACAGATGCCAAATATATCATTTGGAGAGAAAATTATACATTGGAGCTAAAATGATACAGGGGCTAAAATCAATCCATAAAAACATCCAACTCTAATCCATCCTCACCTATGGAAGCATATGGAGTGGTATTGACTTTAGTGAAATCTCTGTCACAGAGTTGTTGTGTAAAAAAGTAGAACAGAATACAATGTAGCCTGAGTTACTATATAAAAGTGGGATATAATTCTAACAAATAAATTTAAGAAACAAGCTTGTTACTTGGTTATAAATGAGCAATGTATTAGAATTTAAATCTCAATGTTACTGAAAGCCAAAGCATTAAAACAAAGAAGCCTTGAAAACATATGACTTTAACATAGTTAGCTAAAATGACAAGCTGAAAACAGAGATAGCAGTAAAGAGAATGTGGACTCAAAATGACAAATATATTCCAGGCTGTGAAATGTAGTGCCTCTTACACAGTTCTAAATTCTGCTGTACGTAATGGTAGCACAAACCTTAAACTAGTTCTAGCCCAAGACAATAATAATTAAACATCAAATTCAGAAAAAAACAGTAGAATATCTGTAGCCCGTATGCAGCCTCCCAAACATCTGGCTTTAAAAAGAAATTACCAAATTGTAATTTTTTGACATTAAAGAACATTGTTAAATATATGGCTAGGAAAACAATTACATTAACTGTATTTAATTTTAACTAATGTGATTATTTTCCCAATGCAGAGGTGGTGTTCAGCAGGTTCTGACCAGCTATGTATGACCGGTAGCAGAAATTTTTAGTTCGGAGAACCGGGAAATACCACCTCTGATTGGAAATTTTACAGTATCCTTCTCCTGCCATGCCCACCAAGCCACACCCACAGAACTGGAAGTAAAAAAATAGAATCCCACCATTGTCTCAAACATATTAATTATGAAATCAATGTTTTATTTTTATTGGGAATAAAACATAGCCTGCAGCACACTACTAAAAAAAAGTCTAAAACAGTGAAATATTCATAGTATAGGCCAGTGGTGGCTAACCTTTTTGGGCTCCTGTGCCAAAAATTGTGTGCGCTTGCACATTCGCGTTCGCATGCCAGCACCCCAGAAGGCAATGCACGCGCTCCCATGCCCTACGCATGCGTGCGCAATCCCCACCCACTAAGCCACCCCCTTACCTGCACTGCACCTCACAGCTGATTTTCGGCAGGTGTGAGGCCTTTTTCAGACCCCAGAGGCTTGAGGAAGGCTTCTGCAGGCTTTGTAGGCCGCAAACTAGGCCAGTTTCGTCACTTCCGGCACTTCTGGAAAAACAGGAAGTGATGAAACGGGCCTAGTTTTCTGCCTGCAAATCCTGCAGAAGCCTTCCTCAAGCCTCTGGGAGTCCGAAAAAGGTCTCACACCTGCCGAAAATCAGCTGTGAGGCACGCACATGCGCAGTGAGGTAAGTTTGCCTGCAGCTTGTGTGCCGGCACAAATGGCTCTGCATGCCACAGGTTTGCCATCACGGGTATAGGCCATAATATTTAGGAGTTGAAGAATGTATTAAATTGGAGAACAGAATGTGACAACTTATCATAGCCTTCAAATCATTAAGTTAATGATTTTCATGCAGTTCTTTGGCTTTGGTATGCATGGCAAGGTGCCTAAGCTCGCAGCTGTAGGAAAATCATTTTTCTGTGCACTAATGGGAAAAGTATTGCTCTGGCAGGGCATGTGATACAGATCCTAATCATGACTAAAACCACCTTAACTATTGGTGGTAATAAACACAAAAGAGGTGCTGACTTTATATCTAACAATGACTGAAATCATCTCACATGATAAAACAAACAAGAGTGGCTTCTGCTGTTTATTTTAGTTCCCCTATTTTAAGCTGCGGAGAAAGTGTCATTCTTCTTAATCCAGTGGACTTTCAAATTGTATATTAATGAGGCTTTCTACAAGAGGTTTTAGGGCGATATTTCTCTAGAAAGTTTAGACAAAATGATAAAACAACTCTATTTTCGTGAGAGTAGATCTCGGTAATAAAGATGTGTCCTAACTGGATTTAAGTCCCATAAAGAGATTCAGAATAGCAGGGTCTAATTTATAAGGTGACCAACTTTTTTACAATGAAAAGGAGGACACAAATAAATTGAAGAAAAAAAACAAAGCCACTTGCGTGCGGCGCACTCTTGCGCGCAGCACACTCTTGCACACGGTGCACTCTTTCACATGGCACACACTCTCAAAACAATTCTCCTGTGTGGAGCACATGTGTCTCATAATTGCGTCTTGCCGCACTGTACCAGGCCTTAATGAATCATGTCAAATACAAATACGTCACATCACACACAACGGACCGGATCGGCATCGATCAAATACGGAGATTTACAGATTAGTCTTGAAATATCAAAAAGGAGGACATGTAGAAGGACACTTTTCGAGGGAGGACAGAACTTACAAAAGGAGGACTGTCCTCCCTAAAGGAGGACGATTGGTCACCTTACTAATTTATAATGTAGAAACAGCATTTTGGCATACAGATAGCACCTATGGGGAACACCTTAAACTTCCAAGGATTATGGAGTAGTTGAAAATAGCAGATATGTAAGCCTAGGAAGAGATTAACTATATTTAATTACTTCAGTTGCCCCTTGTATATTGGTACTTGCAAAATATTTGCAAGTACTTTGTTACCTCCATTAGTAAATCATGAAGTGGAAGACACTACAGCATTCTTGTGTGTGGCAGTGGGCAAACTGAGATACTACCGTATAATGTGATCCTTCTATTAGAATGTATGCATTCTCTTTTATATATAGCTCATGTAAGATATCACTGTATTATAGGCCATATCTAGCATGTGTTGTAGAAAAAAAAATTTTTTTTTTCAAATAATGCTTTTAAAACTTGCAGTAAGTTACATCAAATTTTTATTTTGTTCTGGTAAAATGCCAAAATATCTAAATAATCTTAGAACTAGAGTATGATTAGTCACCACCTGAATAATTTTTGGAAGGAGTATGTTATTAATGTGATATTAATATGCTTTCAAAGTACTCAGATATCTTCTACATAATAACTTATAATTATTAACTATTTCAGTTCTATCTGTCACAACATCCAACCTTCACTTTTTACTTCAGACAAATTATTTGTTGGATATTTAGGTTTTCAAAAATTGAGCAACAGTCATTATCATCTTTGTTTTAGAAACTCTTATTGTAGACTGAAATGTTTGGCACAGAACAAATTACAGTGGTACTTCGGTACTCATTGTTAATTGGTTCCGGGAGACGCAATGAATATCAAAAACAATGAATACCCAAAAAAAAAATTCCCATAATAATATAGTGAGTTACAAGGCAGAAAAATATTGACAAGTTCTAGCTTGTGCACTGAGTACCAAACAAACAATGAGTACTGGGACAAAGTGTTCATATCAAAATGTGTTGAGTATTAAATTTGATGAGTTTCAAAGCAGGTACCACTGTAATTCAATCTATCCATTAAACAGTTGGATAATTTTAGGAGGCAATGTCATGTCCTGAATTTTTCTTTATCTTGGAAATTCTTCTCCAGATGATACTGAATATTTATTTCCATAATTCCTGGGTATATGCCACCAATATAAAAGAAAAGAAATACATAGTTGAAAGGTCACAAATTCTACACCCTATACTTCAGTCTTTCTGATACTCATTGGTATTAAAAACGACTAACAAAACTAGTCCCTGCAGTTTTTTTGGCAAGATACATACAGTAGTTTGCCATTGCTTTCTTCTTAGAGCCAAGACAGAATGACTGGCTCAAACTCATCCAGCTAGTTTCATGCCTAAAGCAGGACTAGAACCCATAGTCTCCTGGTTTTTGACTTGATACCATAACCACTCCACCAAACTGTTTCTCAAAAAGATCAAATGCCTTTTGGGGATCAAGTACATACTAATTTAAATAGCTAGTACAAAATTAGATAACTGGATCTACTATATACATGTTGGCATAAAGTCAGAACCAGATTGTGTACAAAACACCTATTTATTGGACAAAACACTTACCTAATGGAAAATTTTGACATTCTCAACATAACACATATTAGGCATGATTTTTTTTTTTTACATTAAACCATTTTAGTAGCTATGTAAACATAGCTTAGAGAACTGGCAACTGTACTTTGCTTCACGATATGCTTAATACTAAACTAAAATTAAGAAAACAAATTGTTTTGCTTCGCAATGCACTATGTAACATTACATCTTTTAGCAGTTCTTAGTTCCCATCCATCCATTCCAGAATCAGGCTTGAAGGACTATTTATAAGTCTAACTCTATAGAAATCAAGCATCCCCTACTCATGGTCTAAGCCTTACTTCAACACTCCCACTCCCAGGAGCTCTTTATTTCTTAGGATGTTTTCCTGTAATTTAAATACATTATTGTAATTTAAATTACATCCTATGCTCTGAAACAATGGAAAACAGATCTCAATAATCTTGTATCATTTTCCTAGTATCTCAATATTATTCTATTACATTTCCCTTAGGTTTCAATTTCTGAAAGCTAAACAATTCTTAAATTATCCTGATTAGGTCTGAAGTTTCTAGTCTCTTGATCCTTGTTTTTTTCTGAATCTGTTTCAGTTGTCTGACTCCTTCTTAAAAAGTCAGGCCCTGGTTTAATTCTTATGATTTTCTGTAATATAACAACAAAAATTCCATTATAAGTAGAGTGTGTGGGAGAAATGGGTATCTGAAAAGAATAAGTTATATAAAGGTTAAACAGTGAAACTCAATTAGAACCATAAATTCCCTTTATTCAGTGTATTTACTCATCTTCCCCACTGAATACGAGCTGTCTTCCAAGTTTTCAGTCATTGGATATAACTTTACCATTTAGTAAAATTGCCTCAAAATATCTGCATATTTTAATATTTTATATGCATATATTAATATTCATTAATATAACAACTTATACAGATTTTAAGTATGAAGCATAGGCATTGAATTTGAGTATATAAAACTGTTAGATCTGTAGCACTGATATTTTGAAATGCTTTAATGCTTACATTGGCAGAATTGTTTTGGAAATCTGCTCATCGTCATCTTCACTTGAGCTGCTACAAGTTGCTTCCGAATCCAAACTTTCTTCCGCTTGAGACAGCAATTCTGCTGTAGAACAAGCAAACAGCTTGATTTCATCAGGTGCGGAACCCAAATTAGACCATGTGTCTTTATTCCTACCAGCTTCTAGGGAGTTTTTAACTTTAACCATAGTACATTTTTCATTGTTTCCATCCAAAAGATTGTTTGTATCATGAAAAGCTTTCATTCTCTGTAGCTGATGTTTCACAAAGCATTTCATCTGCTGGTCACAATGTTTGACAATATGCTTTGCTAATAAAATTTGCAAGCGTTTCTGACTTCTTTTGGCCCGGTTTAACAAAGTCTGTTGCTTGCTTACGCACTGAAGTAACTGAAAATTTAATTCCTGTTCTTTGCTGCCAGGATTGCAATTTCTTGTTACTTCTGGAGCATCATTGAGTATTTGATGGAACAAACCTCCTTTTTTTGTATTAGGATTAACAAATAAAGCCTTGCCATAAAAACCATTTGTTCGATACCACTTATAGTTTGGAAACTGCTTTTCTTCTGTGTTCTTCAATTCAGTTAAGTGTAAATCCAGTAATCTCTCTGTTTTCAGAAAGCTTTTCCTTGTTCCTGATACAACATCTCCTCTAACTTGTTCTCCAGATTCTGAATTAATACTCTGATTAAAATGTGTATTAGTGCTGTTACTTACAGGATTTCTCGATTTGGAGCAATTATGCTCTTCTAAGTTCTTCTGGATACAATTGTTATTGTTTACACTGAATGTTAAATTAGGATTCATTAATAAAGAACAATGTTTAGATGACTGGGGATCAAAGTATTTTAAGTTAAAGCAATCAATATTGTGGTTGACTTGAGAAGCAGGAAACAAAATAGAACAAGAAAAACTTGTAGCAGAACCATCATTTATCTTCTCTTTTACTGGTCTAGTACTTTCCATTGCTATTGTTTCACTGGACTCCATCTCTCTTGAAGGTAAAGAAGATGATAAATAGACACCATGACTTTTCATTGTTTTCTCTTGGACAGCAGGTGTCATAGCTGTTGTAAATTGCTTACAGCAAACCTGTAATAAAAGGAAACAATAAGTAAGACTGTCAAATAAAATTGTGGAATTTTAATTATAGCAAAAAAAAAAAAAAGATGAATAATATCAGAAAGAAGTTCAACAAATCCAGCTTTTGCCAACTTGGGTACCCTCCATATTTCAGGGCTTCTATAATCATCAACAATAGCCAGGCCGATTGAGTAATTCTGGGAAATACAGGCCTAATTTCTGGAGAGCATGTTTGTAGGATGTCTCTTCCATGACACATTCTGATATTCACCTTTCTACTGATTTCCTTCTGATATCAAAATAAGGACTAGAGTTGCACACGTTTGTAAACTGAATTATACATTATTCAAAACTGAATGCTGTTGACTATGAAAAGTCAAATTTTTAATGAGAATCTTAATACTTTGCAATCCTAAATACATTTATTAATTACATGAATGCATATATACTTATTTCTAGGTAAGCTTGAATATTTTACCGTAACTACATTATTAAACTTATTTATTTGGAAGAATGTCCAATTGAAATAAATTATTTTTTCTTAATAAATTTGGACAAGATTAAAAAATAATATTCTATAATATTCTGTGACATACTACAAAGTGTTTTAGGATAATAATGATGCTACTAACACAAAGCATATTTGTAAGTTGTAAGCATATATTTTAAAAAGATAGGATCAAAAAGATTGCAACATTTCATGTACAATCACTTTATGACTGCATTACAAACTTGTTTATTTATAAAATAACAGCTTATGGCAAAGAATATAAAGAAAGGGGAGAAAGGAAACCATTGACATTCCCCACCCTCATAAAATTTAGTATTATAAGACTATAGTCAATTTTCCGCCAGAACTGTTCAAAAGACATTGACTTCAGTAAGACAATCTCAAAATTTTAAAAAGTGTGAGATATCTTATTTAGAAGACTACTTCAGTTTACAATACTTTTTTAAAGCTCCAATTTCATAATCAGAATGTTACTGGGAATCTGAGAAAGAAAACAGTCTCAAGTGGGAAACTTGCAATGTTGCTTGCTAAGATCCAGCAACCAGGTTACACATTAGAACTGATACTGTTGACATACCTTGGCAAGGTAATCACCTAGCTGATTTATCCTAGTAAGAAACCGTAGTAAGACCAAACCTGGAATTCTGCAACCAATTTTAGTCACCATACTACAAAAAAGATGTTGAGACCTTGGGAAAAGTTCAGAGAAGAGCAACTAAAATGATCAAAGGTCTGGAGACTAAACCATACGAAGAGTGGCTGCAGGTTTTGGGTCTGGCTAGTCTAAAGAAAAGAAGAATTATAGGTGACATGATAGCAGTATTCCAGTATTTGAGGGGCTGCCACAAAGAAGAGATCTAATTATTCTCCAAAGCACCAGAGGGCAGGACAAGAAACAATGGTTGGAAACTAATAAAAGAGAAAAGCAATCAGGAATTGAAAAGCTTCCTAACAGTGAGGACAATTAACCAGTGGAAGAGCTTGCCTCCAGAAATCGTGGGTGTTCCATCAATGGAGGTTTTCAAGAAGAGACTAGATAGCCACTTATCTGAAATAGTATAGGTTCTCCTGCTTCAGAGGGGCAGACTAGAAGACCTCCAAGGTCCCTTCCAGCTCTATTCTATTCTATTCTATCCTGAAAGCTAATCATTATAAACTGGACATTATTTGGAGAATATACTGATCATGAAATTAAAAGAAATGCTTGAGAAAAATCAAGTTTATTTAAGAGCATTTTAATATTTTTTAAATCTGTATAGGTTATTATGGTTATTATGACAGTGAGAGGAAAGGGGAAAAGATGTAAAATAGGATTCTCTGTCAATGGATGAGAAAAGCACTGCCTAGAGCTTGGAAATCTTATGTATCTCTCATGATGCTTAATCTATAGACATATTTCTAACCAATTAAAAAGAATACAGACATACTTGAGGGGAAACTGGCATAAAATAACCATTTTGCAACAATCCAAGCATGATATATCTAAAATTCTTCATAAATAAATTCCAAATTCCATAGCAACAAAGAGAAGTAGTAGTTCCAGCACTGAGCACCAATGGCTCAGAACAAGAAGGGCGGCCTGATGCACACTTTTGACACACATGCAAAATGATAGACCAACATGCATAAAGTATTTTTCAGATTTAACAGACATTAAGCCCTCTTCTCTTTGTAAAATACAAGTTTTAAGCTTTACATAGTCATAGACGGGGTAGCTGCAGAAATTGGTGAAGTCTAGCATTTTTATCTGAAGATGACTTGTCTACTAGAGCTTACAATGAAATTATAGTAAAATTATATAATAAATTATTCATTTATTATTTTAGATATCGCAAACTTTGAGTAGTCCCATGAGAAAACATTTTAAGATCAAATTGTTGCTTATTCATTTTTATAACAAGACGGAGCAGTTGGTGGAAGTTGTGGTTGCCCAACTATGTGCTCATAAGGGACCATGGGATATTTTAAATTGTTGAGGGAAACTCATCAATACTAGACATCTCTTCCACGCATGGAAGGGAGCTGACATCCTTTGGAAGGCTGCTCCTTCACCCACTAGAGATGAGAGGGAGCTGATTTTTTTTAAAGGAATTTCAGCTCTTGAGAGGAGACAGTGAAGAATGCCTCAGATGGGTGGGGAAGCCTTACACAAGCCGTGTATGAGTGTCTTTTCACTCAGGGACTGAAAAACCTGCTTGGATTTTGACAGGGAGGACTTTCAGCTCCTGAATGGAGAGAGAGCGCAATAAGGAAAGAAGTGCAGGATGTCTCAAGGGTGGGGGTGAGGGCCTGGGTTGTCCAGTGCAGGCAGCACACAACTATCTTTCCCTTAAGGAGTGAAAATCCTGCTTGGATTTTGAGCTCCTGAGTGGAGCTTCCCTGGTATTCCTCATTCTGAGGGGCATTCTGGGGTCAATTTTTCTCTTGCAGCCACATCCAGGGAGGTTGCCTATGATCCCATGGACCTTAAATTTCTTGTTAATATTAATCAGCTTGGTCACAGATACATGAAGGTCTTTAGGGAACATTTTATAGCCTTTACCTTTACCATGCTCGGCTATTACCTTCTTCCTTTCCTCCTCAGGCAACTCTCTGCTTTTCTTTCTCTTGTCCATGTTCACTATGCTGCACACAATGATACAAAATGCTCGAGTGAACACATCACACAAACTAAGATTTATAATCTCTGCCAATACCAATATCCATTTGGTGTCAATGATCTAAAAGCTCTATGAAAATAAGGGATTAACTTGGTTTCAATTAACTGGGTCACAAGATAGGAAACCTTCACTTTGAAATACTAATAAGAATAATCTTAATAAAGTGGATGGTACATATTCTTTAATTTTCAGGAATCAGAAGTTTCACTCAATTTTTTTAAAATGTAGGTAATGATTAGTTTAAGGTTTTTCAAAGTATGTTTTGTGAAACCCTAGCATTCTCTCCCGTGCATCTTTGCTTAAGAGTGCAATTCTGCTTGGATTTTGTCTCCCTTTTATCTCTAGTGGCTAGCTGAAAAATCAGCCTTCCAAAGGATGTCTGCTTCCTTCCATGGACCCAAACTGGATTCCAGAGCCTGAAAAAGTTTGACAACCCCTACACTACCTGACACACAATTTTTGAATATGTTGAATCACAAATTATAATACTTCAATCAAGACCAAAGGCTGATGAGATTCTTGGAAAAATATTCAGATGGTATCAGAAACAACAAACAATAGTGGCCATCATAAACCTATCTGATTATTTCAACATTTATGAAAATAACAGCATTACAATTTATTACTATAGTATCTTATTTGGACTTAACTGTTTATTTCATCCCCTGTAGATTTTTGCATATGTTATTGACATATTCCAGAATAGGGAAGTGAGCATTCCCCTATTTCTAAGTATGACACCTTTATCTTCAAAATAATTTTTACTTTTTAGAAGACAAAACTGAGATACTAAGTAGAAAGATACACAGGTAGCCGACAACTTACAATTATTCATTTACTGACCATTCAAAATTACAATGACACTGAAAAAACTGACATGACCAGTTTTGACATTTATGACTGTTGCAGTATCCCGATGGTAATGTGATCAAAATTTGGATGCTTGGCAGTTGGCATGTATGTATGATAGTTGCACTATCACATGACCCTAGCCAGCTTCCGACAAAGTCAATGGGGAAAGTTATTGACTTTATGACTGCAGGATTCATTTAACAACTGCAGTGATTCACTTAATCTGTGGCAAAAAGTTCGTAATTTGGGGCAAAACTCACTTAAATACTGCCTTGCTTAGCAACAGAAGTTTTGAGCTCAATTGTGGGCATATGTTGGGGACTACCTGTAAATCAAACAAAATTAATTTACAATTATATTATAATATTTATACTACTTTTCAAATATACTAGTAAAAGTCACATTAAAGACAGGTTGAAGATAAAAATTTGTCAGATCAAGCTATGGAATTTCTACTTAAGGAGGTTAGGTAGTAAATTGATAGATATCTATTTTAACCCTTAGAGGAATGCTGACATTCAGCATATATGCATAAATAAAAACACTAGTTCAAGACAACATTATCGTATTGGATAATTATCAAGTCCCATATTTTAAGGTAAACTCAAGTTACATATCCAGCAAGTTATCTATTGAAATAGAGTAACACATAGGCAGATCAATTCACTCAACAAATACATATTTTAGCATATAATTTATGCTATTATTATTTTCACTGTATTTGCTAAAATGTAGAGTTTCCAGAATAATAGAATTTCCCATTTGGAAAGAATACAAAAGCTGAAATTCAAACCTGAGCAATATTGCCTTATTAGCAATATGATTCTAACGAATTAAAGAATCCAATTGGACACTGATTTACTTCTGGAAAATTAGTATGTTTTTCACTCTTACATCACATTTTTAGAATTAGTTGGCCAAATAAACAGGGAGAGGAAGATAAAAAAGGAAGGGAGGGAAGGATGAATATGGAAGAGAAGGAATCAAGTAAAGAAGAAAGGAGAAGACATTTCTGACCCTCCCTGCCAGTTTCCCCAAAGTCAAAGATGAAGCTGGCAGGAAGTCCAGAATCGCTCCTCCCCCCAAGCTCCCAGTGCTGTTTCATTTGCTCACTTATAGTCATTCTGTTTCTCTGTTTATATAAGAAAATATCTCTGAAATAATAACCCAACATGTCATGGGTTATCTAGTTTAAACTAAGTATGAGTTGTCATTTTTAGAATATTCACAGGCTACATGTATGCTACATCCATGCCCCTTATATGCAACAGCAACCTCTTTTTTCTGTTTTGTCTTCATGACATTGTTTTCATCTGACTCCCACTCTATGCCTGCATCTCCTTAAACATCCTTAGTTACAACAGTGTTAAAAGTAGCCTTTCCCCCTGTACCTTGATATTAGTTTGGCTCGTATTCTGGTATACTTCATCAATCATTGTTAGTGGCAAGTCCTGTGATATTTTGGAGGTGAGATCAGTACTTGTTAGTCAGTAAGGTTGGTTCAGAAGTGCCCTCTGTTTTGATCCTTGGTGTTGTTTTCCAAAGCCACTCTTTGAACACTAGGACAGCCTGATTCTTTCAAACTGGGTTCTCTCCCTATATCCACAGGGACCCTGAGCCAATCTCCAGTTTGGAGGGCTAGACTGGTCCAAATAGAAGCTGGTCAGCAATGGTGACAGAGAGACTTACACACAGTGAATAAGGAGAATAGTCTTCTTCTTGCTGCTTCATGGGGCAGCAACTCTCTAATCCACACTAAATCAGCAACCAAAAGGATCCTAACTAAATTGGTTCATATAACCAACGGTTAAAACTCCTCCAGGTCTGGGAGCCTTTCAACCTAACCTACTTGAACAAATCTGGAGGAGTTTTAACAGTTGGTTAATCAACCAATTTAGCCATCTTTCAATCCATATCTCCCCTGCCAACCCCAGCTCAATCTCACACCAAGGAGATGGGATGCAGGATATTTTCCAACTAGTTGGTGATATTTGGTGGAGAAGAACAAAGCTGGGAGGAATCCACCAATTCCTGTCCATAAATGAGGGAAAACGTGCATAAGGTAGGATAGGGATTACATACAGGGACAGCATATTATATGCAAGTATTTTGTTAGCTGAAAAGCTGGTGGATAGTTCTTTAATTAGGCTGCGTTTAAGAATACGCTTGATCTATTTTCAAACAGCAGCAAAACATCCACTTTTATACATTCCACGTTGCTACTTATGAAGACCGATAACTTCAGTCAAATAGAAATAAGCCTCAGCTTATAAAACCATCACCTGAAATTTTTAAGTTTCTCTCTTCCCCTTAGCCAAGATAGAGCTGAATCAGGCCCGACACCCTAACCCCTAACCCCCCACAACCCGCTCCGCAGACTTCTAAACTAAGAAACCTAACGCTGCTTCCCAAACCTGAGGCGCACTCCTGGCTGTCCCCCACCTCTCCTTCTGCCTCACTGTAAAACAAAACAACAAAAAACGGACCCCTTCCTCGCGCCCCCGAATCACGGCACTTCTTCCGCCCCGCCTCCGTCCCAACCCAAGGCGCGAGGCTGCAGCCCTTCTTCTTCTTCTTCTCCTCCCCTCATCGGGCCCCTCCGCCCCCTACATTCCTTGGGCGCCGCCACGCCCTCCCCCCCTCCCCCGGCGTCCTCCCCAATCCCGCCTCCCGTCGCCCGCATCCCTACCGCCTCCGTCCTCTCCCCGCTTCAGTGCCGTTACGGCGCTGCTCAGAACTCTGCGGCTGCCCCGGGGGTCGTTTGCGCTTGCCCTCGCGCGTCCCAGCGAAGGCGGGAGGAAAGGAGAACGCCGCCCGGAACCAACCGTCTCTTCTCAAATTCCCGAGGCAACCGTGAAAAGCAACAGCCTCCACCTCTCCCAAAGCACCGACTTGCCTGCCAACTCCGCCTGTCCGTTCACGGGCTGCTTCTCTTCCTCCGGTTGCCTCACTTTCGCAGAGAGTCCAGTTCACTTCCCCAAAAACAAAAACGGCGGCGCCCTCCCATCCAACTTGGCGACTTCACTCAGTTCTCGCTTTCCCCCAACAGGCGCTCCGCTCCAAGTAAGTTGCCTCAGCAGCAAACAAGCGGGAGCGGGCGGGAGCTTGGGCGGGGCAACCGAGGCCTCTGCTCGGACTCGGCCGCCTCAGCCAACCAATGGAAAGCCAAGGAGGGCGGCCCTATGCAAAGCACCCTGCGGCGGGTCTTCAGGATTCTGGGAACGCAGCCGATCTCGTTGGAGACAATTTTGAACTGGAGCCTTGTCCTGCCCGGCGCTTCGCCCGACTACTCCCTTCTAGGTTTCATTGTGCGCTGGAGTTGCGCATTCGTGGATTAGGGTACTGAGCGGACATTAACTTAATACGACTTAACATCGTAGCCGAAGCACGAGGTAGAGTTAGCAGCGTTGATCCATTCCTCTTCCATCGTGTCAAATGTAAGAACATACTTAAATACTACTGACTGACTGATCGCTTTTCTGGCTCCTTCAAAAGGGCTGGAGGGGTAATTGTGATGAAAACTCCGCGACCGACCCTTTTTTAATCAACAGCTTTGATAACGATGCGCTGTTCCGGAGCATGCAGATTGTACAATCACCATTTCTAGATATAATATTCTTGTAGAGTGCTGTGTCCTTAACCTATAAAGAGTAAAGATAGCATCCCAGCTAGTTAATATAATAGAGGGGGCATGGTAGTTCCTTGCTGATACAGAAAACATAATTGTGGAATTGTAGAAATAGTATTAGGAAACAGACTAACATAATTTCATTGAAATAGTCCTGGGGCATTTGAAAATCTGAAAAACCCATCGTGATATCCATAAAAGCTTATTTATTTATTTATTGAATTTATATTTTTTTGCCTATTTGCCCATGGTGACTCGAGGCGATTTACAGAATGTAAAACCATATTTAAAATAAAAAATAAAAAAACAATAAAAACTAACAAAAAGAATAAAATAAATTAATAAAGTACAACAGAACAAAATCTGGGGAAAAAATGCCACATTAAATGTGGTCTTTTAAGTGCCAATGCGAGTGTATGGTGCATTTCAAAGAGGCATGAAATTCTGCTGCATGGTTTTAGCTATCCTGGCATATTTTCAGAAAACAACTCTATTAGGCGTGTTTTTATGAAAAGATCCCAACTTTGCTATTTTCTTCAGAGCACAGTGGAAAGCAAGAGAGAATGAGCTGTATTTGGTTTGATATCAATCAATAGAGAAGACTTAGTTGAGGAAGTAGCAGTAATGGGAATTTTTGGAGGATAGTAATCCTGGAGGTCTTGATTTTGAGGGAATCTAAAACTGAGTATCATATGCTGTACTTTTAAAAATGAGATTTGATTAACCTCAAGCAATAAGGCCAGAGACATGTACAGGACAGTCAACAAAATCAAAATGGTGGTCAAAACTGGGTGATTAAAGCATCCTTTGTTATGTTGAGGCTATGTATGCGCGCTTCACATTCAATTGCCCAGTTGCACTTGCCATTTTTGACTTTGCTGATTATCTCTGCAGACATCTCTAAAAAAACAAAAGTAGATTCCATGACGATGGGGAAAAAAGATAGATGAGATACACAATAGTTCCTAATGAAGGAGGTTTAAAAGTTCAATGAGGTGAGAAAGGGACAATAGAAGACGCCAACTGGAAATCCAAAACAGCTTAATGAAAATCTGAACATAAAAAAGGCTCATACACAAAATAGAAATAATATCAGGTTACAAGCGAAGAGAACAGATGGATTGCCCAAACTATAGGGCTAAATTGCATTCCAGAATGTTTAAGTTCTGGCTGAGCTTCTACATACTATCTTTGAGAAATCCTAAACAACTGAAATGCACAACAATGGAAGAACAAACTTTCCTTTCCAATATCTGTTGGGAGGCATGTCACCTACAAGGGGGAAGTGGCACTGTTTTCAAGATTACTTGCCTTGTCATAAACTCCATGAGTTTATCCTATCGCCTTTAAAGCCAACTATGTTACTGGCTATTGCCATGCTTTGGTGGCAATTAAATACACATGCAAATTATAATTTTGGGGGGTTTCTTTTGGGTTTCTTCCAATCAGCTTTACTGGATGACCTCTTTTGTTTCAGTTTTCAGATGATAAAAACTTCTGCCCACTTTTCTTAAACCTAGCACAATTTTATACACTTTATCTGTATAAAATACTGAAGGTTTTTAAGAAGAGATTGGACAACCATTTGTCTGAAATGGTATAGGTTTTCCTGCTTGAGCAGGGGGTTGGACTAGAAGACCTCTAAGGTCCCTTCCAACTGTTATTGTTTGTTTTGATTTTTTTGAAGAATGATGAGTTTTAACATCTCATCAGATACACTACAGAACTTTAACTTTCATTAAAAATGCCTTCTATTTTTATTCAGCTTTTTTAGATCATTGAAATGTCCTCTGTCCAACTACAGACTATCAAACATTCTAGCATGTTCATATAAAGATTCTGACCTCCCTCCCCCAAACTTTCTACCTTTATTATAACTTATTTTCAAATCTGGACACTAGAACTGTACATAATATTCTATGTTCACCCACATAATGCATTTGTACAAAGATTAGAATTTTGGCTATTTTATTTTCAGTTCTTTTCCTAATGACAGGACAGTTGTGAAAATGGCTTCAATACATTTTTCTTGGTACAGACCTCTTGGATCCCATCAGTGTAAATACTATTTTTTTGCCTCATACATAATTTTACACGTAATTATTTAATATAATTATTAAAATTGCTGTAAGAAAAAATTGGATGGGATAACTAATATTAAGAACACTAAGAAAAAATATAAAATGATCCTAATAGAATAAAAGTGATGGAATTAATTAAAAGTGTTTCACTTATGAAATAAAAATCAACTGTGAATATTGTACACAAGGATATCTGGTTTGGTAATAGTACTTGTGAAAAAGTATTAGAATAGTAGTTGATCACCAGCTGATTATGAATCAGCAACACATTCCGGGTACTGAAAAAGTAAATGCAAATTTTTTGGCTTTCTCAATAGACCTATAATTATATTTTGTATCAGTTCAGAAAATTTTATTTTCCTTTATTATAAGATTATATGTAATATTTTAAAAATAAAAAATAAAATGTATTAGAAGTAAATTCACATTCCATTAGTTCAGAAGTTTGAGAATTATTAAAAATACAACAAAGTGTCTTGCATTGTTCAATGTGAATTTATATAATCAAAGACAGACATGATTTAATACTGAACATTAAAGGTCAACCTGAGAAACAGTTTTTGTTATTACTGTTTTAAAACTTTTAAAAGATTATCCCATTTCTTCAGTTAATCATATACTGGGATTTTGTTTTTGTGAAATTTAATTTTCCATCAGGTAAAATGGCATTGCAATCTAATTGTTGCTTACAATATCTCTTGCAATGAGCTCTTTCATTATTTCATTGGTACCGCCATAAATTGGCTGAACACGAGAATCCACAAAAGATCTGGAAAAAAAAAAGATAATGAAGCATATGAATTAGCTATACCAATACTAATAAATAGAAATATCTGTCACAGGATATATCTTTTCCTACCAAGGTATACTCTTAACAATTATCTTGTTAATGGTGATTGGTAGCTTTTGAGAAAATATGAAATGCAAATTTTAACTTTCTGCAATCTTGTTTTCCAGAATGTTTCTAAGACCTATATGACCCAAAGCTTCTTGAGAATAAGGATGACAAGTATATTAAAACTCAAAATGGAGAAAAAAGAGGTATGATTCACATTTGCTGCTTAGCAAAAAGACAAAATGGAGAAACTCTGGCTCACCCAAAAGTAGAGGAGAAAAGAAAGAAAAATAATTGTAGCGAAGCAGTTAATGGTGAAAACACAAAGACAATTTTGGGGATGACTTACAACGTGGTGGTGAAAATCAGACGTGGTGGTGAAAATCAAAGAAATGACAAGTCAAGCTAAAACAGGTCGTATGAAAAACTTCATGAAATTCTTCATATATTTAAAATACGTATGTCACTTATCAAACCACATACAACATTAAATAGTTGAGCTTTCTTTTTAAATTATAATAAAACATATAAAATCTCTCTTTTATGTCAAATGTTAAGGAAAATGCTATGTGTTTGTGGGTTATCTGTGTTTGCGAAGTGATCCAACCAGTTTGTCCTCTTGTAAAATGGATGCGATAACTGATCACACTAACTACAGGAATAATTTTGTAAATGGACACATTTCCCACATCAGGTATTTTATGATGTTAATCACAAGACCCAAAATTCTACTGATCCCAAGAAATCTACAATATTTAATTATAGAACACCAATATAACACAGATGTTAAACAACTACTTAAAATAACTAACAAAATAAAATTAAAATGGACATAAAATTAAAGTGGAAAGTAACAAAGGGGCCATAAAGTTGTATATAAAGGGAACATACTACCTGAGCTTGCTGCTCACACTGAGGTAAGCTGACTGGAAAAGTAAAAGATTCCTGAAAAAATTATGCTAAGTTTGTTCAACTAAACTGCATGACTAACAAAATAAAAAAATGTAACTTACTTTGCAATTGGGTACTCCCACATATATCCCCATCCTCCATGAAGCTGCAAACACTGAGTAGCCACATTGTTCTGGAGATCAGAAGCCCTTAAAGCATAGGTAGATAAGTCTGTTTCAAAACTATTTGTATTGTGTACTCCAAAAACTGGTTGAAATTATTACTTCTATTTATCTAGCTGCATTATTTTTACAAAAACACATGAGAAGTTTTAACAGCTAGCAGAAATATCTAAGCAATCATACAATAATAATGATAAGTTATAACTAATGATAAGATTCAAAATCTCATTTTGGCAATGGCAATTGAACAAAAGGTTTTTAAATGTAGGTTTAAATTTAACAAGATGTTCATTATACATAAATGTTCAATACAAACAATTTAAGTTTACCTTCTACTGAAAATGTTTTCTACATCAGTTAACGTATGGAAAAATTATCTGTACCAAAATAATTTTCTATTCAGTAGTAAAATCTCCATATCACTATGAATGTAGCTAAAATCACATTCAACTACGTAAAAGAGAAACAGCTTTAAGAACGATACTTTAAATATTACATTGGAGAGCAAGATAAGCATGTTGTGAATGGCAATACCCAAAATATATATCTAGGTAAACCCATAAATAAGCATTCTGCACATTGCTGGAAATACTACTAAATAGGTATGTACAACTGCAAATAGACGAATGATTTCCTTTTATTAAAGCTAAATATAATTGCTGTTTCAGTCCAGTATTATTTTATATTACTAGATGTTTCTCATCTGGACTTTAACCTTTGGGCTTATTTTAGTAATTTTTGTAAGAGACAAAACATTTCAGGAAAAAAAGTTTATGCTCTTTCTCTTAATTTTATACAGGTAGTCCTTAACTTACGACAACCATGGAAACAAAAATTTCTATTGTTAAGTGAGATATTTGTTAAGTGAATTTTGTCCCATTTTATGACCTTTCTTCCCACAGTTGTTAAATGAATCACTGTAATTTTTAAGTTAATAACACAGTTGTTAAGTAAATCTGATTTTCCGATTGACTTTGCTTGTCAGAAGTTTGCAAAAGGTGATCATGTGACCCAGGACACTGCAACTGTCATAAAATGAACCAGTTGCCAAGCATCTGAATTTTGATCATGTGATCATGGGGATGCTGCAATGGTTGTAAGTGTGAAACTGGTTATAAGTCCCTTTTTCAGTGCCGCTGTAACTTTGGTCACTAAATCAACTGTTGTAAATCAAGGACTACCCGTACCTTACTTCTTTTACCCATGCAGTTAATTTAATTTGGTATCTGTACACAGTATTCCCTTGGATGTGTTCACTTTGGTGAAACATATGTTAATATGTAACAGCAAAAATTTCCAAGAGCTGTTTCTGGCTAATGAAAAACAGAACAGTAAGCAATCTAGCTAAAGCTGTCTTATGTAACAATGGACTCCTTTTCCAGTCAGATTTAAGGGAAAAAAATGTATGTGTGTAATATATATAAATATATAGAATATTCTATTTAATTAATACATTGTTAAACAACTATTTATTTCATTCATTTAATAATGGATCCAATAAACATTTAGTTCATTCATTTTGCATTGTTATAGAAATCAAAGTTTTAATATGAGTCATTTTTCCCAAGAATCATTTAGAATATTGACTCTTTTGTCAACACAATCTTTCCTAGAAAATCAGCCAATAATAAAGTTCAACTGAAAGCTTGCCGATTAATCATCCTTCTTTCAAATCAATCCAGTACACTAAATCAATGTAATATCCTATACTTAAATAAAGACCCCCAAAGTATTTTATTTAAAAATTAATTCAGAACTGCATTGCATTCTGGCATGTAGCCCGAATCGTTCCAGCTTTTTAAGATGAATTTATAATATAACAGAATAATAGAGTTGGAAAGGACCTTGGAGGTTTTCCAGTCCAACCCCCTGGTTGGAGCAGAAGATCCTATGTCATTATGGGCAAATGGCTGTCCAAACTCTTCTTAAAAACATAATAATATTAAAAACATAATTTAAAATATAGTTAAAATATAATGTATTTAGGATAAACCATTAATTATGGTATCAAATTATTTAAGGATAATGCATTTCTCCAAACCAATGTCCCAGAAACTGCTATTCTTTATCGAATGCAGTATTTTTTATATATTACAAATGCTGTTCTGAATGGCATTATGTAGGTATCAAAACAACTATATACTATGAAATAGCCAGAAAAAAAAATCCTACTGTACTCCATATTTTTGTACTTTACGGTGTTAATCCCCTCTCCAACTTCTGATCTCCTTTTGTTTTCCTGCAGTAAAACTAATACCCACAAAGCTGGAAGCAATCATTGAGCTTCTTTCCTTCTGTTTTGTGCAGGAATCCAAATTCAAATATCCACAACAAATTACTTTTGAGCTTCAGTTTGAACATATATAGAAACAACCACCCCTACTCAAAAGGTTAGCAATTTTTTCTTAACATTCCATGGGAATATACCAGCATATAATTTAAATCCATTAATTCATGCTGTGCCATCTTAAACTATAAACAGGAGGTTCTGGCCTTTGCTATATGACACCCTTTCAGATATCTGAAGAATGCTATCAGTTTCTTCTTCTTTAAGGCTCAGCATCTTTCACTCCTGCACCCTTCAGAACCAAGTTTCTAGGCTTCAAGCCATCCTTGTTGCCTAGAATATTTTTTTTTGTGATAGCCATATTGCTGGTTTCTCTTTTCTTGAATTGTCTTCTCAGTTCTTCAAAATTAACAGGCTGGGCCTATTTTTGCTAGTATCATCTGCCCTCTTATGAATTAGCAGAAAGGAATAATTGTCAGTTGATTTGATGTAATATGCGGTGGCATCCCTAATCTGTGCTCTTAGCAGAGAGAAGATTTCAGAAACCAGTGGATCTGATTAGCACATCTGCACAGTGCAGGTTAGGAAGAGATTTGAATGCATGGAAGAAATCACAGGTCGGGGTGGGGGGGTCTGCAATGGAGTACACAAGAGGTATAGTGCAGGGAGGGTGAACAAGGATTGAATAAGTGCATGGGAGGTGTAGTGTGGGAGGTTACATGAGTCCAGTTGAGTGTGCAAGAGATGCCATGCTGATCAAACGTGAGGAAGTATGTAAGAGGCACTGTGTGGATCAGAGGGGGACTGTGCAGGTCAGAGAGGATATCTAGGGGTATGCGGGAGGCATGGCAAGAGTTGAGAAATGTGCATGGAGTTGCTGGGTGAAAGCATACAGGTGGGTGAGTGATTTACTCCAGCAACTTGCAACCTTCCCTGCTGTCTCCCCCATTTATTTTCTGGGGAAGCCAACAGGAAAGGTTGTAATGTTAACATGGGGCACTTGGCAACCGGTTGTAAGTGCAAATGAATTGCCAATCACCTAGATTTCAATCACGAGACTGTGGTGTGCTGGAACAACCAGAATTCTAGGGCAGGGACAATTGTAACTACTGTTCACTTAGCACCATTGTAACCTTGAACTGTCATTGAATGAAGGGTCGTATGTCAAGGATTGCCTGTATACCAAAGAATTTGATGCATCTCAGTGTTTGAAAGTGATTTGTGTGTGTTTCTAATTATTTCCCAGCTGTTGGCAAATGCTGTGTGTCTTCTTTAGCCACACCTATCTGGAAAGCAAGGGTAGCTTACTAGATTCATGAGCCTCAACAGTCTATGAATGAGTGAGAGATCATAGGCCAAACGTGCATGTTAACGACTCCACTTTAAAAGTTCATGTCTACACATATCAGCAAATCTAAGTTTTCATGTTCCACTTCCTTATTAATGGGAGAAATCTATTTTAATTTTTACAAAGGTATCAAGTAAAACATGGGTTCGGAGTGAGATACAGCTAAAAAAGATGCTATGTTGGGATGCGTAAACAGAGGCATCAGGTTTGATCATCTGCCCTAATCAGAACCATTTGGAATACTGAGTGCTGTTCGGGATGCCATAATTTTAAAAAGACAATGATAAATTAGAACAGGTTCAGAGGAGGGCTACCAAGAAGGTGAAAAGTCTGGAAGCCAAACCCAGTCAAAAAGTCTGGAAATCAAACTGAGAAACAGTTCAATAATCTGGATACGTTTCACTTGTAGAAAAGACAGCCAAGGGAGATAACGAAAGCAATCTTCAAATACCTGAAGTTCCAACGTACAGAAAAGTGAATGGACTTATGTTCCATTGCTCCAGTGGGCAAGACCAGAACCAA